CGGAATGCTTGCCCCTGGATTTGTTCTTCAGCAGAATGAGCCTAGCTATTAATGGCTTATGCATAACACATTTCATATTTTGAGAGTTTGCAGCTATTCTTTCAAAGAATTAGAAGGTATTTCATTTGCACATGAGAAAACTAAGGGCCCAAGAAGTGACATCACACTGCTAATTCATGCTAGATCCCGTGTGGAAGCCCTGTTCTGCCAAGTACTCTTTTCACCGGTGGCACTGCTGTTGGGGTCACCTCTTGGGACCAGAGAATCAGTGACCACTGACTGGCAACCCGGAGTATAGGGTGCTTCGGCCTCTGACATCAGATGTCCTTTACTGGGTTCCCCCCGTTTTTCTTGGGTGCAGTTTGAGAGGACCACTCAGGTCTGTATTCATAACCATTTGCCCTTGAGCCATGAAAGCCTCTTGACATCCCAAAAGGAAGGAGAGAGGAGTGAGGAAACTGATCACCTATTCTCATTTCCCCTTTTAATGTTCTCTTGGGAAGTTCTTGACGTTTAACCTAAAATGAAAATCTGTCGCACCATGCAGTTTAGTGATAAAGGGAAAGAGCCCCAGCTGGGCCCTCCATGTGCCGGCTCAACCCCGAGGATTTCGGAGCTCTCAGCAAGCAGGGAAGCCCTGGAGCCTCCCCTCCTTCCTCTTTCCCTGGCTCGTCACTGGGCAGGAGAGAAGTTAATTTAACTTGCCACTTAAGCACAGGCTGTGGGAGGCCCCCGAGTTCAGCTTGAGGAGAAAGGGGCTATTTTTGCCTCCTCTAGAGGAAGAAAACTCATTTTCCCAATGCACCCCACCCCCTCCTCCTCCTGTGCAGATGAGCTTAATTTTCTTTCCTTCCTAATGAAGATGGATCCAAGCCAAACTATATATTCTGGGGGGAGCCAGGCAGGGAAGCCGAGTGAGGGGGCGAGGGGGCAGAAACAGAGCTTCTCTTCAGAGAGGAAGTAATTAATTTTAAGAGAGAGCTAAGATAGGGAAGCCCTTGGTAATATCATGTCAGACTCCAAATGCAAGTGACTGAAAACTGAATCAGAGCCCAGAGAGTTTCTTTCATTCATTCATTTACTCATTCAACAAATGTTTATGGAGCACCTACTATGCACAGGCAGGGACCTCAAAACAGGCCTCAGAAGAGGGCTCAGCACAGCACAACCACAGCAGGGCTCCATTAACTGGATCAGCAGCAGGAAGAGGGCATGATCTGAAAACTTAGGCCTCCTGTCACCAGGATGAATCATTTGCAAAAGTCCCACTAAATGGCTGAATATATTGATCTTTTGGATTTAGGATTAGCTGTTTAAACATCAGCAGCTGTTGACCCCAGTTATATCCCAACCAGCTTGACTCTTCATGGGTTAAATAATAATGTTGTCCATTTGCTTTTCCATTCACTGATGACATTGTTCCCTGACCAAGTTCTATCCTCCATCCAAACAATTAGATTAGCCCCTCCTTTTCAGTGTCTGTTGTGATATCACAGAATTACCATAGCAACAGACTATGATGTCAACACAATGCCTGGTCTTGAGCCGCGTTGGTTTGAAAGGAACCTGTCATGTGAAGACAAAATGGAATAATATAGAAAACCAGAGGAACGGGAATTTGATATCAAAAAGAACATCTTGGCAGGGTAAGGTAACTGGGTGGGCCAGGGTGTCCTTTGCTAGAACCCTTTGCAAACCACCAAGGTGCTTTCATTGAGATGAGCATTGATTAGTGAGCCTGCTTGCCTGGAGACAGGGGTGGGAGGAGGTGACCTTCAAGAAGTCCTCCAAGACCAAGGATCCCAAGACAAGGAAGACATTAGGAAAGGGGGAGATTTGACCAGCTTTGGCTTCTGGGGAATTCGGGGGAATTAACATCAGTGCAAAACCTCCTTGCTCGTGAGTTGATCTGACAGGCACCAGCTGGAATTTATCATCTTGCATCTGGGAAGATTTGCAGCAGTAAACACACAGTGACCCCTTCTCAAGCCCCATTTGCTGCCCTCTTCCTCACAAGCCTAGGGAGGAAGCTTTCCTTCCATTTCGCCAGAGCAGAGAAGCCCAGTTCCTTGCCATCAGCTCTGGCTCCCCGACATCCACGCCCATCCACACTCTGGATCCACAAGTCCCGTCCCTCCCAGCTGGACTACGGCTCCCAGAGGGCAGAAGAGCTGCTGGGTCTGAGGGCAGCTGGGCAGAGGCCAGTGGCTTCTGTCTGTACAGCAGGCTGGGTAGGCAGAGGAGAAGAGAAAGGAGACTTTCTCAATTAATCTCAGCCTCTCAGCAGCGGCAGCAATAACAGGGAATGAACCTGGAGCTTCCCTTAACCCTGTACCCTCAGGCTCTGAAGGGTGTCTGAGAAGCAGAGTTGATTTTCAGCTCCAGAGCCTGTGTCTGGGCTGGGAGCTGGGAAGCAGCACCGTCTCCCTGCAGGTCGAGCTGGCATGAGTTTCTGCCGTGCAGATGGGAATGCAGCCCCATGCTCCTCCGCCCGCCCAGCCACTCTGTGTCCTTAGCTCAGTGAGGTCGCACTACCTGGAGGTGGTTCACCTGCTCAGTGCACGCCCCAACTCTCCGTGGCTGCATTTTCTCCTTGGGAACCTGAACGAGGAGGATGCCGTCCCCTCCTCGCTTATCCAGTCTCCAGTCCTCTGACCGGTGGTAGTCCAGCCGGATACTAGGAAGCTGCAGGCCCGCTGGGGCACCTGGGTGACCCCTACCATCACCCAGGGAGAGCCCCCTCCCTGTTCTCTAATGCCAGAGCCGGGAAGAGGGGCAACCAGCAGACAGCCTGCCACCGCTTGCGCTGTTCCTCTGCCACGGCCCGAGGACTTACTTCTCAGAGGGATGGTAGCAGCAGGGTGGCTGGTGGGTCCTCCGAGGCTGCCCAACTGGGGACTGAGCTGCCAAAAAGATGCTGAAGTTTCGGGCTGACCGACGAGCCAGGTAGGGATCTCGTCCATGGACCGTGAGCCTGGTGAACTCGGAGCCGGCGGCGCTGGCACTCACCCTGTTCCCGTCTGGGGGCTTGGCGGTGAGGGGTCTGCTGGCAATGACCTGGGAGGAGAGCGCAGTTAGGTCAATGGTTGCTGCATTGCAGTGCCCGTGAAGGGGAAGCTGTTTTGAAATTGGTAGCGTGGGGATGGAGAGAGCACGTCATCTGTAGGGGTTGCTGGGTAGGAGACTCTGGGGCAGGGAGAAATGTGCTGTACCCTGGGAGACTCGAGACAGCTGACAGCTGACTGCCTGCATGCTTCTGTGTGTCTGTCTGTACCAGAGCCTGCAGGAAGCTCCCTGGAGCTACCATCGGGAACACACAGATCATTAGGGGCCTGGAGGGGCAAAGAGGTGGGAGGGAGCAAGTGCCCCACACCACTGGGTGAAAGCAGAGAAGTTGTCACCTCAAGGACCTTCACTGTCACCACTGCCTTTGCACCAGACTTCTAAGGGGACAGAGCCAGGGACAAGGTTAACTGCAGGCAGGTACCTTTCCTTGCAAAGACCCCCTGTGATTAAGTTGAGAGCATCGTCTTTGGAAACGTGGAACCGCCGTTTGGGAAGTGGGGAGTGGATTCCCAGTGTTCTAGAGTCAGAAGCCAGGAGGACACTCGTCAGGTTTGGGGTCCTGTCTGCACAGCCAGACTTTCCCATTGGCCGTAGCCACTACCTGCTGTGCTGCTGTCTCCCGTGTGCCTTTGGCTTACATCTGAACATGACCAGTTTGGAAGCTGGAAAAAACACACTTTGATATTATCTTTAGCTTCAGCAGGCAGCGCAAGGGTGAGATGTGTCCTGGGCTAAAAGAGGTGCCAACAAGGTTATTTTCCTTCCCTGAAGCAGCTGAAGCGACTGAGCTCTTTTTCCCCACCGCTGACCTGCGGGGGGCTGAACAGAGCACTGGGTCTTTACCATGGGGTCTGAAGTGGCCCCGCCTTAGTCCCTATGCTTGCTCTTAGGGTCTGCTGGAGCCTGCGCTCTCTGGACTCTCACAGTATTTTTCGAGGGGTGGGAGAAGTGCTCCTTAAAGCTCCCTTAGCCCCCACAGGCCCGGATTTCAAATATCCGCTACTATGTTCCTGCCAGGTAGTTGCTGCTAATGGAATACAACCCAGATAGGCCACTGCCCCAGCCCCTCTGAAGTCTGTCTGCTGTCTTCCTCCTTATGCCCCCTGAGAGGCCACCGGGAAGCTGGCCTGACATCCAGCTAGCCAGCAGAGACGCAGGCTGCCTCCATGTACCGTTCCCCATCTGCCTCGCCTGCACCCCGCTCCTGGTTTGTGCTTCCTGGCAGGCTGTCCTCATAACACACCACCCCACTCCCAGCCACAGTGTCCCTTAATTAGATCTGACTGTTCAGCCAGCACTGACCTTGATGCCTGACAGCTCGCGATGTCTCTGTGACATCCAGTAGCCCTTGGATGGAAGACCCTGGGCTCAGAGCATGAACGAGTCCCGGCCCAAGCTCAAGAATGGAGTTTCTGAATCTCCCGTTTCCTTTCAAGAAAGAGATGGAGCATAAAGCAGGAGAGAATTAGTCCAAGGTCACAGGAGAGTTCTTTCAGCAAATAATGAGGGAGCGTGTTTTATGCAGAACACTGGCAGGCAGCTTCTCTGCTTGGGAACCTGCCACGCATGAAATCTTGACTGTGTTGGACAGACAGTTCAAACACCGCGCCCCCCACGCATGCCTGAGATAGCTGCGGGACGAGTTAAGTGTGGCTGGTGTCCAGCCTGGGGAGCTCTAGTAAGTGGCTGACACTGACTAGTGATTGGTGACGAGGCTTCTTTTGACTTCCCTCACCCCACCCCTCCCCACCCCAGCAACAGCTTCTGCCACTCAAGCCTTGTTCTCCCTCTGGCCCCCTTTGGGGGTGCAGAGGTAGAGCTGCTTTCATGGTCACCTGTCCCCGTCACTGCCCAGGGTCTGTTCTCCCTTTGGCTCATGTCTCTGTCCTCTGCATTTTTATCACAGTTTCTCTCACTGTTGCTTCTACAGCCACAATGACAGACGGAACACATTTCGTCACCCAGTGACTGGCCAAGTCCCAGAGGAGAACAAGAAGTTCGACTTGAAAACGTAAGTTTTGCCTTCTATTTACTGTTTGGCCTTTTTATCTTTTGTCACCGCCATTCCATGGCCACCTTGCACTGGGATGGGGAGGATGATGGGGAGGATGATGGGGAGGGAAGGAAAAGAAGGGATTTGGGATCCTTTAGTTCTGAAACTGGAAGCTTCTGGGACCCATCTCCTGACATCCCCAGCCCCTTTTCCTGGTGCATCTCACAGGTTGAACCGAAGGAGTGAAAGCCAGGTCTGAGGTTGGCATAGCACCCAGGGGCCTTGGCAGGAGGCAGAGAGAGAATCTGATATAATCTTGAGGGCTGAACATGAATTTGGCCTACGCTGGATTCTGCATCTCTGAATGAAAGGGAAAAAAAGGAAAGAAAGGATAATTAATTGACTCCTAGGCCACCAGCCATTGTACCTTTAAGATTAGAAGGGAAGGAGTTCTGGAGTCTGAGAATCTAGATTTTTAAAATAAAAAAAGAGAAGAAAGAGAATATCTGGGATGACCAGCATATAATCCCAGAAGAACTGAGGAGAAACTCTGAATGATCTCTTGATGGGTGGGGAAGTTTTTCCCCCGTTGCTTCTTGGCTCTGACTAGTCTCTTTCTTTTGTTCAATTTGAAATCAGATCGGCCTTGGACATGTCCAATAAAACAGGTGGGAAACGCCCTGCTACCACCAACAGTGACATATCCAACCACAACATGGTGTCCGAGGTCCCTCCAGAGCGGCCCAACATTCGGGTGAGTCCAGTCCCTCAAAGCAGGAAGGAGATGTCTTCAATGCATGTTTATTGGGATCTCAGGGATCGTAGGAAAGTCTCACCTACCCAGCTCATTCTGTACTCCAACGGACAGGTGAGGTGGCCCAGGGAGATAGTCAGTGGGAAGGGAAGAGGGCTCAGACCAGAATCTTGCAGAGGACCAACATCTAGACCTGGGGTTCTCAGCCTCAGCCCCGTTAGCCTCCGGGCTTGACAGTTCTCATTGGTGTGGGAGTGACCTGTGCGCTGAAGGATAGTGACCTGCATCTCTGGCCCCTGCCCTGTTGATGCCAGTAGGATCTCCCTCCAATTATGGGTGAGAGTCAGAGTGAGATGAAAGTAAGGGACCCCCAGGAGGAAGAAGTGTCTCAGAGAAGAACGTCGCAAAAGGGCCCTGCCAGATCAGGGCTGCTGACTTGTGTCCTTGTTTGGTGACAGGGTGGTAACTAGAGGAGAGGGTGGTCTGAGAGGTGTGATGAGGGCAGAAGGCAAGGCGGAGAGGGTTAAAGAGGAGATGGGAGAGGAGAGGTAGACACGTGGAAGGGTAACAGTTCTAAGATGATAATAAATTCATACAATGGAGTATTCTCCAAAACTTAAAATGAACTTGCTCTGTGTGTACTAACAGGGATTCTTCTTGAAAACATGATTCTGCAAGTTGCAGAATATGGAAAATATAACACTTATGTAAAATGCACAAATATGAAAAGCGGCACTACATATTTATAGGAACAGCTGCAGTCCAAGTATATAACCATGAACAGGAAGGCTCGTTTTGGGTCAGTGGTTACCTCCAGGGAAGAAAAAGGTAATGGGATTGGCCCGGTGCTTCCCAGAGAGAGTTAGCTCTGACAACACAAAGGGATGATTGCATATTGTTCTCTACTTCCCTGAAATGCTTGGAATATTTCAAAAAGGAGGAACTTTTTATTTTTACTTTTCGATGAGCATATATTCATCGTGCATATGAATGAGGTTCCATGTGGTGGTTGAGCTCACACATGCAGCATGCCCTGATCCAATCAGGCTCATGAGCATTTCCCTGTCCTTACCATTTCTTCACGTTTGTCGGCTTTGTGCTCTTTCTTCCAGAGCTTCATAAAATATATAACAGGTGGTTGTGAACTATAGTCAGATGGAAGGAAAATGTGGAGTGGGGATTGGAAACCAGAGGGAAGGAGGCGGAGGGGATTTGTTGGTTAGGCAGAGGCCTGCGGGGAAGGATTAGTCTTCGTAGACAGGTTCAGAAGGGGATGGTTGGTGAGTTGTGTTTTCATGGTGTCGGGGTGCCTGCGTGTTAGCCTGGGTTGGGGAAGCGCATGTCTTCCTGAGATGCATAAAAATAAAAGTATGTGAAGCTGAGAGTGGGTGTCTAGGAAATTAAAGATGTCCCCACCTGACTGCCTCCACTTTTGCAGGAAGGAAGGAAGCAGGGTGCTTTGTAGGGAGGAGAAGCGCATGGGAATGTGTCAGGTCAGGTGCGTGAGAACACGCAGTGCACGTTTGGGTAACAGGAATGGTGCTCAGCCAGGGACACACGGAACATGCTGCTGGGTAATTGAAGGATCATCTGAGGTTGAAGACTAAGAATCTGTGTGCCTGATCCACAGGCTGGTGTGGTTTTCCTTCAGCAGTGCTCAGAGCCCAGCTGTGAGGGCAAGGCAGGCAGAGTGTTGGATTGACCCGTGGCTGCTGGGAAGCTGGGCACAGGCACCGCGTGGCTAATGTGTTGAGGGGTGGCCCTGGGAATGTCTAGAAAGGAAAACTATGGGAAGCCACTGCTCTGGTGGCAGAGAGAAGGGGGAAGGATTTAGGGATTTGCATATCCTTAAGGAGGCAGACAACTTCTTCAAATGACGTTTCTTGGCCCTTATCTGTGAATTTTCACTAGTAATGTCCAGAAAATAACTTTGTTTCCTACTTGTGGAGGTACTTTATAATAAAGCCCAATCTCTTCTTTCCTTCTGTCTCTGCAAGTATATTCTAAGTGTTTGTTATGGCTGGCACCTTGCTGGCTATGGTGATATAGGAATGAACAAAACCAAAGTCCTTTCTGCAAAAAGCTCAGTCGCGTGGTAGAGGAGACAGAAAGCCAGCAGCTCCATTGCTGAGCAATGTGACAAGTTTTACACTCTACAGATGTCCGGAGTTGCTAACTGTTGTGGGGGTGGGTGGTTAGGGAGGTCTCATGGAGAATCTATGCTGGATTTTAAAGAGTGGGCTGGGAATTGTGGGTGCTGAGGGAGGATGTCCTCCCTTTGTGAGGGAGCCCAGGTGAGCAGAGGTTCAGGAGGAAGAGACAGCAGAGGTGGGGCTTGGGTGCCAGAGGGGCAGAAGCCGGGCTGTAGACCCGATCGGATCTCATGGATTCCCGCTTCTGTACTGTGCTCAGGTATCTGAGCTCTCCCCTAAGCGATGAGGACTAATAAGAAATTTGAAGCAAGAGAATCACACAATTCTATGTGTTTTAGAAAAATCACCTCAATTCATCGCCCAGGATGGATAGCAAGAAGAAATGAGGACCTGCAAGATGACAGCAGCAGAATTTCAGAGGGAAAAGAGATTTGAGGCTCTGTTAAGGAGACAGACTCAGGCTGAGGGTGTGGCTTGGGGATAGAGGGCATGCCTAGTCACACCACCTCTGGGCTCCTTCCTCGGCACTGATAACACACAACATCAAAGCAGATCTTTCAGCCCACATCCATGGTGGTAGGAAGGAGTAGAGGAAGCAGGGAAGCAGGGACTCGACTCCGAGTTCTGATGTGGGTGGCTGGGTGAGTTGCAGCGTCGTCCACCAAGATGAGGAATACAGAAGAGTAGGTTTGGGTAGAAAGAATGAATCTGGCTCTGCTCTTACTTAATCCTAGTCAGACATCGAGTTATAAAATGGACTGGCGCTAGGAGATACAGATCAGGGAACCCTGATCCTGTTGCTGGTACTTGAAGCAGTGGGTAGAGATGAGCTTGCACAAGCTCCAGGGCTGGGGCGTGGCCGGGTGTAGAGTGCTTACCTAGCACAGGAAAGGCACCCAACCCCAGCACCACCAAAACAAAAACAATAACAAAACCCTCAAATAAAATAATAAAAGTTTGGTTGTGGTTCAGCAACACTTGGAATAGAGGAAGGGAGGGAGGTATTGAAAGATCCCAGGAAGGACAGAAAGTTAATGAGCTTTGGAGTGATCAAGGACCGAATGGCCCTAACTCAATAGCATTGCAAGAGCCGTTTCCAAATGAGGTGGAGGAAGTTTGGGGATCTTGGGAGGAGAAGAAAGTGGGCTCTGCCCAGTAGCCCAGCCCTGAAGAGAAAGGGAGAATGGATTCTGCCTTACAGTGGGCAGGGGTTGTTTTAGTTAGTTTTTTTTTTTTTTTTTTTTTTGCTATTGTGACTGAAAGACCTGACCAGAACCATTTTAGAGGAGGAAAATTTTATTTGGAGGCTGGGCTCACGGCTTCAGAGTTCTCACTCCATAAGCAGCTGGCTCCATTCCTCGGGCTTGAGATGAGGCAGGACATCATGGTGGAAGAGTGTGGTGGAGGGAAGTTGCTCACGTGATGATCAGGAAGCTGAGAGAGACTCCACTTGCAAGATACAAAATATATACCCCAAAGGCATACCCACAATGCCCACCTCCTCCAGCCGCATCCTACCCACCTCCAGCCACCACCCCGTTAATCCCATCAGGGGATTAATCCACTGATTGAGTTAGGGCTCTCAGAACCCAGTCATTTCTCCTCTAAATCTTCTTGCATTGTCTCACACTTGAGCTTTTAGGGGACACCTCTCATCTAAACCATAATAGGGGATGGGGGTGGAGGGGGAGTTTGGGGGTGTGTGAGAGGATGAGAGAGAGGTGCCATCAGATGGAGAGACTGGGGCTTGCTGGCCAGGAGAAGCAGCCAGCAGAGAAGGGCACGTTGAAGACAGGCTTGAGAGGAGATGTCAACAGGGCAAAGTCTCAGAGGAGATGGCGGGCTAGAAGGGTCAGCTGTGGAAGGGCAGGTGATACCTCTCCTGTTGACATTGGAGGGAAAAAGACAGTGAAGAGGGCAGTACTTTTCTAGGTAAAAGGGTGTGGAATTGAGGAAGTGCATGTATGGTTGTGGAAGAGGAGCCAGGTCCAGTATGGGGACGGCAGAGGTGGGAGGTTGGGGGACTTGGGAGGACAGTGTGGGGCTCTTGCTGTGGGACTCTGTGGGGGCTCTGCCCAGCCGGGGCTGGGAACCCTGGGTATGCAGTGACCTCATCTGCTCTGCAGTATGATTTTAAATTTTTTCTTCCTCTAGCAGCACCGTAATCTGGCTGTGAGTACAGGGAGGGAGGATAATTTGATTAATTTGGAATATTGAGTTTCAGAGAAGATGAAGCAGAAAAATAATGGATGGGTGTTTTGAGTCCAGCTTTGGAAGGACATAATGAAAACCAGGAAGCAGCGGATGAATCCAGAGAAAAGGGAAATGGGGATCTCAGGGGAATAGAAAAGCTGGGGGTAGTTAAGTAATGGAGGGAAGAAGGCCAAAGGGAGAAATATAGTGACCAGCAAGTGGGAATTCTAGAATTGAAGGTGTTAGTGGACGGTGGCTTGGGGTGCTGACAGTCTAAGGTGAGGTCTAGCCCGGGCATGAGCAGCTGGAACAGAAGATGGAGGGTTTTGGAGTTGAGGAGGTCAAGGGCATTGGATGGGTAAGGAGATGTCTCATATCAGAATCCTTAGACTCAAGCCAGGCACAGTGGTGCACACCCGTAATCATAGCTCCTGGGGAGGCTGAGGCAGGAGGATTGCAAGTTCGAGGCCAGCCTAGGCAACTTAGCAAGACCCCCATCTCAAAATAAAAAAAATAAAAAGAGCTGGGGAGGAAGCTCAGTGATTGAGCACCGTTGGGTTCAATCCCAAGTACCAAAACAAAAATGAAAAATTAAAAAAAAAACCCATAAAATAAAAACCCTTTATAGAGTCCAAAAGAAGGGTGTAGAAGCTGATGGTGAAGGGTTAGGTCGTGGGAGGCCAGAACGTGGGGCTTCAGGAAGACAGACTGTTGCCAGAATGTGGGAGAATGACAGTGTCCACACGGCGAGGAGCTAGGAAAGCACCCCTCGGTCTCCCCAGCTCTGTGGGGTGCTGTGGCTGAGACAAGGAGCAGGAGTTGAGCAGGAGTTGACGTGGGCCATTAATTTAGAGTTGAGTGGATTCCAGAGAGCACTGCGAAGAGATGGGGAGTCAGGAGGGCAGGGGAAGAGGGTCAGGCCAGGAGTGAAAGGAGAAATCTTGGGGTTTTTTTTCCTCCAAAGGAAAAAAAGCAAAGCTATGAGACAGCTAGGACTCCTCTTATGAGACCCAGTTTAGAGATTGAAAAAAACGAGCTAAAGTCAGTCCTGACCTGGAGTTAGTACCAGCTCCCAGAGTCTCACCTGGTTCTCAGCAGGAGGGCACCCAGGAGTGAGCTGGAGAGAGCTTGCTCCTCAGGGGGCAGCACCCTCGCAGATGGAGCAGAGGGAAGGAGAGGAAGCAGCTCAGGTGTCTTTCCCTGTTTCCCCAGGCGACACGAACATCCCGCAAAGCCATCGCCTTTGGCAAGCGTTCACACTCCATGAAGCGGAACCCCAACGCGCCGGTCACCAAGGCAGGCTGGCTCTTCAAGCAGGTGAGGCGCCCTGTGCTCTGCCCACCATAGCCACCTCTGACAGCGCCGTGACTCCTCTGTGCTGATGGCAGTCTGTGTATTTTTTTGAGGTCCCTCTTGCCATGGTGGGGGTGACAGGTGTCCACTGACTGGCCTGGCCTCATCCCTGCCTGCCCTTCCGCTCACTTATTCTGGCTCATTTCTTGCCCTTTTTATCTTCCCCCTGATGAGGTGGCACCGAGCCTCAGAATGACAGAGCTGGAATGTCACAGGCAGTAATCTAATGTCCCTTCCCTGCCTCTGTGACCTCCAGGGTGTTGCTGCCACACGTTAGAGCTGAGCCTGGATGTCCTTTTAAGCTGTGCAGTGCCCTTTCCCCTCCATGCCCAGCCCACAGCCCCTCACATCCGTCTCTCCCCGTGTCCCGCAGGCCAGCTCCGGGGTGAAGCAGTGGAACAAGCGCTGGTTCGTCCTGGTGGACCGTTGCCTCTTCTACTACAAAGGTGAGCCTGCCCCTGGGGTGTCGATTGGCAGAGCCTTGGCAGGACAGGTCTCCCCCCTCGAGTGCTTGGCGCCAGAGGAGTGTGACATGGGATGGTGGCTTGTGCCACCTCACCCACGTTCATTCAATTCAGCAATATTTCTGGATTGCTTGGTAGGTTTTAGGCAGCGATCTGGGTCCTGGTTGGTGACACAGTGGGTGACAAGGTAGTTATATGCTTGGTGAAGTCTGGAAGGGGTAGGAGAGAGGAAGAAGATGAAGAGGTTCCTAGTGAGCACCTGTAGGTCACTGCGTCCTGGAGGCTTGCACCTTGGTCTTCTTCATGTTCCACTGGAATGGACAGTCTGGTCAGTGAGGGCAGGAATTTCTGCCAATTTTGTTCACTCCTGAGTCCACAGCATCTAAACATTGCACTGCACACAGTGTTTAGTGGATAGTGCATAAATGAGAGGCCCCCAGCTTCTACTCTCTGTCACCCCCGCATTCACCCCTAGCCTGCTCCCTGATCAAAAATAAATAAATAAACAAAATAAAGGAGAGCAAAGCTCTGGTAACTTTGATGCAACCTTCTCTAGGAAGTTATTTAAAAATATTCAGAGCCACATGTGTCACCATGGGCACAGAGGGCACAAGGGCTGGCTGATGACAGCAATGGTGGCATCATCAGGCTGCTGTGGTGGCAGGAGGAAGCAGACCCAGGGGATAAGACAGGGATGTGAGCTCGGAGAGGCTGTTCTTGGTGCTTGCTCAGGATGGCTTGCCTCAGGATGGCTGAGCCCTGGTTTCCCAAGGCCTCCTGGGAGCAATCTGATGAATCATTAACTTGGGCAAACAAAGGTTGTACCCGGTGACCCTTTCGCCCCAGGGTGCCACTGTCCCTGAGCACTAAGCTAAGGCCAATTGAACTCTTAAGGAAGAGGGATCAGAGGGGCTGTGGATTCTGGGGCCAGGCACAGAGAAAGGCCCAAATTTGCAGAGACTGTGCCCAGGCCTGGCCCCTGGGTGCTGAGCCCCGGAGCAGAGTAGGACTGGCCTGGAAGGAGAGCCAGTGTCTGTGCAGAGGAGGGGCTAATGTACTGAAAAGGGGTCACAGCCACAGAGGGGTGGTCTCAGGTCAGCTCTGGGCTTAGCCTGTTTTCTGTGGCTGCGTCATTCACCGTGAGGGGAGGTTTATTATGGCCCACAGTTCTGGAGGCTGGAAGGTGCGAGAACACGGTGGTTTCTGGGGAGGGCCTCATGCTGCTTCAACTCACGGCAGAAGGTAGAGAGGGGACACACAGATGACACAAAACAGGAGGGCCGCCTCGCCTCCAAGGCCCCGCTGTGGAAGGGGAGCTCTGTGTGGGAAGAGCACCCATCCCTCTGTGACCCCACCACCTCTCAGCACCTTACATTAGAATCAGATTCCCACGTGAGCTTTAGCTCATCCAAACCAGAGCAGCCCCTAAACGCTGGCCTGCCCTCTGCCAGGCGGGGCCCGTCTCCTCAGCAGGTGGGCAGCCTCAATTTTCCCAAAGACAGCTTTGGAGTCGAGCCTCAAGTCCTTCCTGCTCCTTCATTTGACCCCTCCCTCTGGCATCAGGCTGTGGGCTAAACAGAATCGCAGACCAAGTATCTTGTGGGTCTGTGGATGTGACAAGAGGGGAGACAGAGCTCTGGGAGTCGTAGCCCTGCAGAGGTTTCTTCTGGACTCTGAGGGTTTTTCAGAGTCCCCAACCCCAGGAATACACAGCAGACCCAGCAGAGGAGAGGGTCTTGCCATGGCCACATAGTTGTCCCCCACCTGTCCCACAGAGGGCTCCTGCCCTTTCTGGCCTCCTGCTGACAGCTGGGCGCCCGACTAGCTAATCCATCAGGCTCCTCCAGATCCGGGATGAATTATGTAACAGCCCCATTGTTAGTGATTGTTAGCCTGATCCTGAGAGGACAGGGCCCGGGGCTCCACGCAGGAGCTATAAAGGGGGTCTGCAGCAGGAAAAAGGCAAAGCAGGCTGCTGGGGGCTGGGAGCACACTGAGAGAGCTACCCAGAGCTTTAGAGAGCAGGAGGAGAAGTGGTGCACACGACCCTGCTCCATCCTGTCCCCTGCTGTATGCACTGCTACTGGAATTGTCCTGTTTAGTGAGGCAGGATAGATGGGATAGGGGTCGGCAAGGCCAGCTTTGGCGTCAGGCTTCTTGGGTGGAAAGACCACGCCCACTACTTAGTTTTTAAGGAAACTTGGACAAACTCCTCGGCCTCTGTGTCTTAGCTTCCCATCGAATGGGGGGTGATATGGGTACCCCTTTGCGGGATAGTTTGAAGAGTTGAATCCAGTAAGACATTTAACTTGGAACGCTCCTAATATGAGGCGAACACTCCAGAAACATCAGCTCTTCCTTAATAACTGGTTTGTGCATTAGAATGTGAACGCCCCGAAGGTGGGCACCTTTCTCTTATTCCCTTCTGTAGTCCAGTGTCTGAACAGCGTCCGCCAGCCCCTCTGCCCCCCCACCCCCAGCTCCAGGGAGTGCCTCTTGGAGTGTGTGTGGTGGTCCTGAGTGTCTGGCAAGTAGTAGGTGGGCATCAGGTGTTCACAGAGCAGGGCCAGCATGCTCCTGGCTCCCCCTGCCCAGGTGCGCACGTGAGCACACACACCCTTGTGCCTCTGTTTCTCTGGCAGATGAAAAGGAGGAGAGCATCCTGGGCAGCATCCCCCTGTTGAGCTTCCGGGTTGCAGCAGTGCAGCCCTCGGACAACATCAGCCGGAAGCACACCTTTAAGGTCGGTTGGCTTTCCTCTCCCAGGTCTGGGGGAGGGAGGCCTGTTCTTCTAGAGCATATGGAGATAGAGAAGGGTCAAGGGCATCTCCCTGAGGAATCCAGGTGGTGATGGAGGAGGAAGGGAGCAGGCAGTGGCCTCTGGACTCAGATGGGTTACTGGGAGGCCAAGGTGAGGCTGTGCTGGGACACCCCTCTTCTTCACAGGGGTCACGTGGGTAATTCCCCTTAGGTGGACCGATAGGGGTGTGCCTCAGTGGTACCACAGTTTTTACTGGGAGAGAAAGTTACGTCCTGGGCCCTTGGACTTTCTGCTCCTGGGAAATCCCTCTGGACAGAGGCAGAGCTGTGCCTGGTGGAATTCTTGAGATCTTTTCTGGAAAGCCTCCCGCTGCACCTTGGGTCCAGGGAAGGGGATCCCTCCTCCAGCCAAATTAACTGAAATTGCAATCTTTAGAGGAAATGAGGAGTTGAGTTCTGCTCCAATCCAAAGCTGCAAACTTCTGTAGACAACAGTTTTGAGAGAACAAGGGCCAGGAAAATGGGACTCGGCTGCCTCTCCGTGTCACTCCCTCAGAACCCCCCAGGGATCCACCCATCAAAGACACTGCTCGCTCGCAGCTGGCTCTTCCTAGGCCAGTGTTTTTCCACATTTAAAAATTCATGACCCATTAAAAACTATAAAAATCTCATCCCCCTTTTTTTCTTTGTTATGAAAAAAAAAAAAAAAAAAAAAACCACCTTAGGTTTCTTTTCATTTTCCAAATGTAAAATTATAAGCTAAACTGTGCATTTCCGTAGGACAAAGCCCTCTGTCCCCCAGTAGAGAATTGCCATCTCAAACCCTGAAAACCCAAAACTGAGGTGTTAGATGATAGGACCTATGGGTCTCACCAGGCCAACTGTCTGAGCTCCTAGGGCCCTTTCTGACCCGTGGACTTTGGTCACCTGGTGATAGGAGAGAGGTGGGCAGCACGTGTAGGTTCTGCCCTGAGGAACAAGGAGGGACTTACTTGGCACATAATTAGTTTCCAGCCTCCCAGGGTCCTGTGTGCCAGAGGTATGGGCGGAATAAACAATTAATGAAACTGTGACTCTAGAGAGCCGGCTCCTAGCTGGGGAAATAGAAGTAGGCTGTCTAACCAACAACACACAGCCCCGGCTTACACACACACACACACACACACACACAGACCCATGTACCATCAGCCAGCCTGCCCCCCCCATACCACCTTTTAGAGACACACTCCAGCTCAGAGCTGTGCCAGCTGCAGGCATCAGATAACATCCCAGAATGGCTAGCACAAACCCCGACCGCAAAGCCCCAAGATCACGCCTGCGCCCACCAGCCCCTTGCCCACTCCACCTTCCCCAGGAGTGCACTGCCTCTTTAAGACCTGGCTCTGAGGGCTGTGCTTAGTGGCCCACAAAGGGTTCCAATTGTGGCTATTCAGTGGCCCTTCCCCAGGGAAGGGAGGGGAGCCGAGACAGACAGGAGGCTTATCCTGCTGTGGCCACCCCGCCAGACTCTTGGATGGCAAATAATGAGAAGCCAGGAACTGCGCCTGCCCCGGCTGCCACTGAATGCTTTACCTCTTCCTCACCCGGCCCCTCCGGAGGGTTTCGCCTGCTGGGACACCTCCCTCACTTCTCTGGCCCCTTTCATAGTCCCAGCCCATGCCCCTCCCCACTCCCCATCAATAGCCCCGTCTTTTCCCAGGCCCTCTGCCTTCCCCTGTCTCCAGCACTTGCTCCTGGGCCTGTGTTTGCTCCCTGTTTCCTGTGGCATGTTTGGTTGCCAATGTGACTGTGAGCTCAAGTGCAAGAGCAAGCCCCTGCCTTCCTTGTGACTGGTGCCCTGCACGAGCTGAACTCACAGGCTGCTCACTAGGTGCTTGCACTCCCACCTGCCCCAGGACACACCACCAGTCCTGTGTCCCCTTCTCCTCTACAGCCACCTGGGTTCTCCACCCAGAGGGCTTGCTTGGTCCTCAGCTCTCAACTCCTGTGCAGTTTCACGTCCCAGAGGCCTCCTTCCAGCCCCACAGGCTGTCCGTCAGCCTCTCCTGCCCTCTCTACACCGGGCTGTCTGCTAGAGGGTAGGGAATGCAGAGGAAGGAGCCCCATCCATGCCTCTTGCTAGGTAGTGGCTCCTATTAGAAAGAATTCCAGGGCTGAGCCTGGCACGGTGGCTCACACCTATAATGCCAGTGGCTCAGGAAGCTGAGGCAGGAGGATCGCAAGTTCAAAGCCAACCTCAACTACTTAGCGAGGACCTCAACAACTTAGCAAGACCCTGTCTCTAAATTTAAAATAAATAAATAAATAAAACAGGGATGGAGATTTGACTCAGTGGTTAAGCACCCCTGGGTTGAATCCCTGGTTCCTCCCCCCACCAATAAAGAGTTCCAAGGTTAGGGAGAGGTAGAGGGGGGTGGGACTGGCTACAGTCAAGAAAGCCTGGGGATGCTTGATCCAAAAGGCATCACACGAGTTGGGCTTGATGCTGCTGCTCAGCAGAGCCCAGAGGCTCAGTCAGTGGTTCCTTTCTCCTCCCGCAAACCCCAGCAACCCAGGAAGGAGCACCCAAAGAGTCAGGCTGCCAGGTAGCTCACCTCTGAGACTGAGTCACAATTGGACCCCCCCAATTTTGGAGAGATTGAGGGTCATTCAGCAAGTATATTAAGGTCCCAGCAAGTTCTAGTCCTATGGCCCCTCTCTTTATGGCCTTGAGTTTCACCAGGCAGACCCTTCCCCATGAGGTTGACTGAGCAGGACAGCAGCTGGTCTGCCTTGGCAGGGCTGGTGAGGTGCAGAGCGGGGTTAGCCCCAGGGTTCCTGGCTCCCCATTCCAAACCCAGCCTGATTCCCAGAGTGCACACTCTCCACGCCCTTCCCCTTGGTGACCTGAGCCGGGCACTGCTGGGTGCTGTCCTTCCCAGTAGTGACACTGAGTAAAAAGGGACAGTCTGACCCCCCCTTCCCCCCGCTCCTCACCGTCTCTTGCCTCCTCCTCTGTCTCTCCCTCTGGTGTTGGTTGACCTGCTCTCTGCTTCTCCTTCTGATGCCTGAGGACCCCTTCTCGACAGGAGCTCTCTTCTGGGTTCCCGCCCACTGTGCCTGCTCACAGCCGCCAACTAGGTAGTGTGCTCCGTCTGTATGCCAGAGCCTGCCCTTGCATGCCTATGGATAGGGGCCTGGCTGTCTCCCCTCGAGGAAGAGGCAGGGCGAGCTTCTCCCTAGGAAGCTGGGGCTGAAATTAGCATGTGCTCAGGGGCCCACCTCCCCCAGCTCTTGGGTAATTGCCTTTCAACTCCCCCAGCCCTTGGGTAATTGGAGGGCAGTAGGTGTGGTAATTGTCCCTCCTGCTTACAAATCACCTCAGGTGGGACAGGTAGGCTTACCTGCCTACGGGGCTGCCTGGCAGCACTTGGAGACCTGGCCCAGGCTGCCTGGTTGCCAGTTGGAGCACGTGGGCCAACCATGGGCCAGCGTCCTCACCTGGCTCCTGAGCTGTACCTGGGGGAGGAGCCGCAGGCACAGGAATAGCTGCACTGACTGTCTCTCCTGGGGGTGTTGGTGTCCTTTCCCTACAGGTGACTGTGTGCTGGGTAGATGAGGCCGGGGCCAGTTCCACGCACTGCCTCTCCCCACAGGCCGAGCATGCTGGCGTCCGCACCTACTTCTTCAGTGCCGAGAGTCCCGAGGAGCAGGAGGCCTGGATCCAGGCTATGGGGGAGGCTGCCCGGGTACAGATCCCTCCAGCCCAGAAGTCGGCGCCCCAACCTGTGCGCCACAGGTGAGTGCCAGGGTACCTGGCGTGGGAGTGAGGAAGGGGCAGAAGCAGCAGAAAAGACGTGCCCAGCCCTGTGCCGCTGTGGAGCCCAGCACACCGGTTGGACCCCTGGAGGACGTGTGAGCCATGCAGGTCTGGCTAAGTGATTACAGAACCCCAAATCCTTCCCTGGTCCCACTTCTCCTCTTCTCTCTAAGCTGGGGGAGGGCACATTGAAGCCAGGTTCCATCACGACCTGCCCAGAAGCCAAAGGTGAGGGTATTTGCTTCTTTTTCTTGGCTATATATTAAATACGCAGCCTTTGGAGGAATAGATCACAGCTCGGCCACCTGGCCACAGCGTGACCTCAGTGTAAGTGACTTGACCTCTGAGAATTTGAGTTTCCTCTCCTTAAAACTAGCAGTTATAATCCCCCCACCTGGGGTGGTTGTGAAGACGACATGGTGTGTGTAAAATGCTTGACATGTAGCAGACACTCAGCAGATGGCTGCTCTCAGCTGCCGTCATCACCCGCGGTCTTGGTGCCTGTCTCTTCTGTAACTGGGTGTGGAGCCTTGAGTTAGGTGTTAATAGGGATCCAGAGAAGGGGGCTCACAGTGTTGACTCCAAGTCTAGTCGTGTGTCTTAGAAATGTTTACCCAGCGACGTTTCAGCAAGGCGGCTTGACTCTGCCAGCCTTGGAGGAAATTCTTGCGCGTTTCCATCTCCGTCTTTCCAGAAGTTCATTTATTCATTTCACAAATATTTACTGTGAACATAAATGTGATAGGCCCTATGCCAGGTGCTAGGAGCACCCGGGAGGAAAGTCTGCCATGTTCCTGCCCTGGTGGAGCCTACCTTCTCATGGGAAGTCAGTCTGGGAGGAACGTGATTTGGAGAAGGGAACGAGCATGTCTGCATGCCCATGAACTTGGAGGCAGCAGCTCTTATCTCTGCCATGTTTTATCTCATAGCAGTCCTCTGAGGAGAGAGGGGGTTATGTTCGTTCTGCCAGTGGGGAGCCCACGACTCATGGAAGTCAAGTAGCTTTCTGGAGAGGAGAGAGTGGACCTGTAGCAAGCCTCTGTTGCCAAGGTCACAGTTACTGCTGTGAAACTTCAGTATCGGGCCCATGAAGTTTGAGGGGCTGGATCAGGGACAGGTGACGGAGGAGACCAAGACTGTTGGGTTGGTCTTGGCCATGCTGAAGGCTGGGCTCAAAACAGGCAGCAGACGGGAGTGGACAGTGACCTGGGAAGAAGACCCAGAGGGCAGGACCAGCCTGGCATGCTTTGGCAGGAATTGTTATACATTGCCTAATAGTTGCCCGGGCCGGAGCAAGAAGATGAGGCCTGGGGTTTAGGAAGCAGATCGGAGGTCACTGCACTGGCTCCCTTGCTGCCTTCCTGCCTGTTCCTCTCCGCACCTTTTCTCCCTCCCAGTCATGACTGGAGTCTCTTACTGCATCATCTCCCTTGGCCTCCTGCAGCCACGAGAAGCCAGACTCAGAGAACATCCCTCCCAGCAAACACCACCAGCAGCCAGCCCACAACAGCCTGCCCAGGCCTGAGCCTGAGGCCAAGACTCGAGGGGAGGGCGACGGCCGAGGCTGTGAGAAGCCAGAGCGGAGGCCCGAGAGGCCCGAAGTCAAGAAAGAGTCTCTGGTGAAAGCCAATGGCCTCCCAGCTGGACCTGAGCCGGCCTCAGAGCCCGGCAGCCCTTACCCCGAGGGCCCGAGGGTGCCAGGGGGTGGGGAGCAGCCTGCCCAGCCCAATGGCTGGCAGTACAGCTCCCCCAGCCGGCCAGGGAGCACAGCTTTCCCACCTCAGGATGGGGAGAGTGGGGGGCACCGGCGGAGCTTTCCTCCACGCACCAACCCTGACAAAATCGCCCAGCGCAAGAGCTCCATGAATCAGCTTCAGCAGTGGGTGAACCTGCGCCGGGGTGTGCAGCCCCCCGAAGACCTTCGGAGGTGAGGCTCTGCAGGGCCGGGGCGGGCTGGTGTGGTGGAACGTGGTGGTATGGCTGGGTAGACACCCGCTTCTGGAAGCCAGGATAACCTGGGATGCTAAAGACTAGGGTCTGCTTCCCAGCTCAACCCAGCTCCTCTCCTGTGCCACCGGGACTGCCATCCCTCGTTCCTGCTTTCTCTGTCAGCTTCCTTCAGGAAGAAGGACAGAGCACCCCAGTGCTGCTTCACATGGTATTGGGTGGCCCAAGAGTCAGGCAGGCCCAGGCAGGGGACTTGAAGTGTTCTGGTCAGACACCCGTCCCTGCTGTGGATCCTATATCTTCAACCCCAGGGCAACCCCAGTCTAGCCACCAAACCAACTCACTGTCTCCAACAGCTCTGTTTGAAAGATCATTATAGGAAGTTTACTTTTTGAAAGAAAAAAAAAAGATGCCAATGATTTTAATACCATCCTCAGTGACCAAAGACGGGCTTTCAGATATTTGGGAACATCAATTGGAACTGACAATGTTCGTCAAAGCAAGTCAGCTGGCTAACTTCTTCCCTGGGGATAGGGACAACTCCAGGGACTGCAGGTGGTGGCCTCAGAGGGCTTCTGGGCCCTTGAGTAAACGCGCCCTCTAGCGGTGAGCTGCAGCTCACTGCTGGTGGTCCTGCACCTGGTCCTCCCACTCCCGGGAACCTGCTGGTTCTGTGTTGACAGGATCTAACAGGAAGCTGCCCTTTCCTCCCCGCTCTGCTCCCTCCTTCAGTGCCTGGTACACCCGGGTTCTCTCTTCCCCCGCCTCCCTTGGAAAGGATCTGATAAACTGGTTCGCACAGACGGGGATGGAGAAGAAGGGGCATTTCATTTTAAAGAGACAAAAACAGAAGCTCTGAACGCTGCAGTCTGCAGCCCCCACGAGCTGGTTGAGAAAGCTCCCTGCCTCAGGAGTAAATCCCAGCCTCTGCCTCAGCAGTGACCTCCTCTTTGTGTCCATAAGGCCAGGGCACCTCTCCATGGGCACCTTTCACCTGTCCAGGCAGCTCCTCGGGGCTGGAGGACACAGACGTGGGGCTGGGTTGTAAGTGGACGGGTGGAGACCTGCCTATTTTGTCTGCTTTCCTTACAGTGTCCTCTGTGTCCTAGTCCCTCTAGGTTCTACCCTGTGTCTCGCAGAGTCCCTGAGTATTATGGCCCCTACTCGTCCCAGTACCCAGACGATTACCAGTACTACCCGCCCGGGGTGCGGCCAGACAGCATCTGCTCCATGCCCGCCTACGATCGGATCAGCCCGCCCTGGGCCCTGGAGGACAAGCGCCACTCCTTCCGCAATGGGGGTGGACCACCGGCCTACCAGCTGCGCGAGTGGAAGGAGCCGGCTGGCTACGGCAGGCAGGATGGCACCGTCTGGGTCCCCAGCCCTTCTCGACAGCCAGTCTATTATGACGAGCTGGACGCCACCTCCGGCTCCCTGCGCCGACTGTCCTTGCAGCCCCGTTCCCACTCCGTGCCCCGCTCGCCCAGCCAGGGCTCCTACAGCCGCGCCCGCATTTATTCCCCTGTCCGCTCGCCCAGTGCCCGCTTTGAGCGGCTGCCACCTCGCAGCGAGGACATCTATGCCGACCCTGCCGCCTATGTGATGAGACGATCCATCAGCTCCCCCAAGGTGAGCCCCAGCCTGCCCCTCCCTCCTCATCCCTAAGACCATCTTCTGAGAAGAGGTGGACCGTGGACCCCTGGGCTGTGTCACAGGACTGGGGACCTGCCTGGGGAGATGCTGGCCTATGCTTCTGTCCCTAGGAGTGCCGCCTTGGGGGATTGCTTTGCTCCCTAAATGGAAACATTACGCTGTATGCCGGTTGGTCCCCAGGTTGTCCCAGGAATCGTTCTGTGTAAGAGGGCAGAGTGCGTCTTTTCTACTCTTGAGGACTTGGACAGATTATTGCCAGGGGAGCAGACATGATGTTTGACACAGACATCCCTAACCTTGAACTTCAGTTGGTGGGGAAGTCCATGTCCAACCAGACTCTCTCACCTCTACAATCCCCTTTCTCTTCCAGTATGATTACCTGGGAGACAGGCGGCCAGTCCCTGCAGGACTGTTCCCCTACAACTACCCACCATCCCCCACGGTCCACGATAAGATGGTACGTCCTCTTCTCCCCTCCACTCCACCTCTGGACTTCCCTGCCTCCACCCAAGGTGGAGTCAAACTGGGGCAGGCGCCAGGGGTGCTGTGTGCCTAGTGCCTGGCCTATGTGTTTTTAGCGCCTCTGGATGCCTCCTCCCTCCTGGCTAGGACTCTAGCTCCAACAGAGTTTAGTGCCAGTTACCCTTTCTCTGTGACTCAGGGCAGAGGAGTAGGACAAGATCAGAGAGCATGTACTATCCGGATCCCCTAGAGCCCAGCGCAGCCCTCCTCTCCAGCATGCAGAGGAGGCCAGGGCAGGGGGCTCGTATTATGAGCTGGGACAGAAGGTCAGGCTAGGCCTCCTAGCAACAGGCAAGAGCATCTAGACTTTTTCTCCCTACATGTATTTGCTTCAAGTTTGCTTTTTGCCTGAAATGCCACCTATGGGAAAGAGTCAAAAGGTGACAGAGGAAGAAAAAAAAAATGTTCCATATTGTGCCTACTTCCTTTTCTCTCCTTTTTCCTACTTGCATAGAAAAATGTGTTCCCTTGAGAATTTCTGCCTCCACCTGGAGGACTAGATGCAGTTGATCTACTTGGACGGGTTGGGGAGAACCACAGGGTCCAACAGGCATGACCTCCTGTACCAGGAGGCCGGGGTGGTGGAGCTTGGCCGTTCTTACTCCACTATCCAAACTCTATAGCCTTGACCCACCGCAGGCATCCCCCTCCAGAAACAACCAGTCTTTCCAGAAAACCCAGAAGCTGTTGCTAAGAAGTGCTGATTAGGTGGCTTTAGTGGTGCTTCACCGTCCCAGGAAGGCAAGACAGACCCAGGAGAGATGGTGGAGCTGGGCCAGGAGCGTGTCCCTCCTGTGCCCGCCTGCAACCTCAGCTCCTCCCCAGAACTCCTCCAGGGCCAAGAGAGAGAGGATTTCCCTTGTCCTTGCCCAGCTAACTCTTAACAGCTTTGCTTCTTTTTTTATCGTTTTCTTTCTCGTGTGTTCCTGTTTGTTTGTGTTGCTGACTGGCCCTTTGGCCTCGGGCTCCGGGTAGGATGAACTTTTAGACCTTCAGTTGCAAAGAAACCTAGAGTATTTGGACCAGCAGGTAGGCAGAGCTGGTGCCCCTCACCATTCCACTGTCCTGTCTCCCCGCTCCTCCCCCCTCCTCCCCCTCCCGCCATTTGACAACCTTTGTTGGTGCAACCAGGACACAACAAAGTGGCTTATATTTTAGTTTGTTCCTTCACACCCCTCCTCCTCAAAGCCCCGTAGGGCACCTGGGGGTTTCTGGTGGAAAGAAGCATAATAATAAATGGGCACATGAATAATTAATGCCACCTCATATTTCTCCAACCAGCCCAGATGGAACTGCCTCCCAGGAGGCAGGTTGGGAATTTGCGTTTCTGCTGGAGAGAAGAGGGAGTCACAGAGATAGGCTGGGGCTCTGGGTATGGGCCTGAGATGCTAATAATTTAAACCGAGGCCTATAGACCTGCCTTAGAATAACTTAGAAAATCATATCCATTCAGTACATCTGCAATTTTTTTCGGCATCGCTCTTTTGCATACTCAGCCCACGGTTGTGAGAATTCAGGCTGTAGACACTGAGGCAATATAATCAACTCAGTTTGACAGGTGAGCAAGCTGAACAGGTAATAAGTGGCCCCACGAGACCCAGGCAGTTGACTGGGTCTGCCTGGGCTCCCAGCTCCAGGGCTCTCACCCTTGGCTGCATTGCCCATTGAGGCCAAGAGGGCAATGTAGACTCCAGGGGAACACGCTGGCATATCTGTGAGCACATCCTCTATGTTCAGATCGGTGCCACAAATCATGGGAACTGCACACCATTGTCCTGTGGAGGCAACCTGGGGTGGCAGAAATGATAACAGGGATAATAATGATGGCAGTAGCCACCATAATGGAAGGCCTCCTCCGTGTCTTACTGTTCTAAGCAAAATAGATCCCAACTCGTTTACTCTTTATGATAATCCTACAAGATGAGTACTGTTATTTATCTCCATTTTGCAGCCAGGGCGATGAGGCACAAAGAGGTTAAATAATGTGCCAAAGACACACATCGGAGCTTGAATATGGCTCTGAGGTTTTAACCCAGTTTATTGTTGAGGAAACATGTAACTTAAAAAAAAAAAAAAGCTGGAGTCATATCTCATCAGAAGGATTTTAAGCTCTTAGAGTTGCAGAAAGAACAATAAACTTGAAATCAGAGCTGTATGTTCTTCTAGTCACAAGCCCTGTCACCCACCATCTCACAGGGCCTCCACGTCACGATGTGATGATGTTCTATCCGAGAAGAGCTTGGGCACTGGGAAGCACTGATATCCATAATTTGGTCAGCAGGACCTGCTCCCGGCCCTCAAGGACCTTGAGTTCTTGTTCTATAAGCGGTATGCAGTGCTTGCACCGTGAGCATTCCTGTCCACGTGGGAACTGGTCTCAGGTTGTCCCTAAGAGCAGGGCTGGGAAGCATGGAATCCTCCCAGTAGGAAGTGTCCGTCTGGTTGGCTCCCTAGCCCATCCGCAGGCCTGGCTGTCCACACACTCAGTGCAGAATCAGGGTCTTTAGCCCTTGAAAGGAGGCTTTAGCCCTTGAAAAGAGGGTCTGGACTATTGGGCTATAAATAACCTTCAAAGAGGACCCCTTCCTGGATAGAGGGTAATATTCCCGAGAAGCATCTTGTGGGATAAGGAGAGTCCACATGTAGCCAGGCGCTGCCACTCTAGTCCCAGCTCTGCCATTTACAAGCTTTTTTTTTTTTAAACCTTAGAAATGTCACCTAGTCTCTCTGGGTTCTTATTCTCTTAATCATTAAATGGGCTTCGCAGAGCTAGCCCTTTCTACATCACAGTTATCGGGAGAATCCAGTAGGAGAGTCCTGCCAGGTCCTTGTTGGGCACACACTGGTGAGGAGTGCTGACTGCTGCTATTATTTCATGTTCTACCAAAATGCAGCACTAACTCTGCATTGGGCACAAAATTTGCTTTCTCACAAAATCTTTCCAACATTTTGCACAGAGTTAGCCCATGGGATCCTCCTAGAGGAGAGGCCCTCGTGAGCTCAAAGATTCCCAAAGCCACAGCACCAGGGAGAGCAGGCCAGCAGGAGAACCTTCTGCTTCTTGCAACCAATGCTTTAGACACAGTTTTGGGGAAGGACTGAGGTCAGTGGGTGCCCAGGAAGAGCCTTGGCCTCCCTTGGCCTCTGAGCCTGACACATTGGTAGATCCGCCTGTGTGCACACCCCTGGGTCTTCAGGAAGAGAGGGATAGACTAGTTTGGATCTTTCTAGAGAAGATGTGGTTGACCTCCTGTTGACTTTGAACTCTTGCAAGGACTCAACCTCATATTCCAATATGAGGTAATATAATCAACTCAGTTTGACAGGTGAGCAAGCTGAACAGGTAATAAGTGTTCAGCCTTTTAAGTCACACTTGATGCCACAGAGAAAATTTCCAGCTGGGCTAAAGGGGCAGAAAAACCAGATCCTAGAAAAGGGCTGAAATGACTACAGCTCCTGCAGATGAGCAGCGGGTGCCTTCCACCTATAGGGTGCAGAGGCGAAGCTGTGTTTCAGCTCTTGCTTAAAAGGGTAAGAGGAAGAAAAGACAGTGGGTCTCACCAAGATTGGGGAGGCCGTAGAGAAAACCTGGGACCCCAGAAGATCTTTCCTACTGTGGCTGTCCTTCTCATTCACTTTCTCTCCCCAAAAGCTTTTCTTGCTCATTTCCCTTTGTCTCCTCCCATCTCTGCTACAGAACAGCAGAGTTAAAGGGACACAGCCAAGGACATTCCCTGACCGGCTCATTTTTGATCTCACGCTGGAACCAGTGGGGAAATGATGGCACCTCTGATTGATGTGGTTGGCCCGTCCTCCCTTCTTCCCTCCCTTCTCCTTCCCTTCCTTCCTCCTCCCCGCTCTGTCTCTCTCTTTTTCATTTGGCAAACAATGCCCCACCCCAAAGTTCCTTATGATCCTTCAACTGTAAAGATGATGTGGTGGAAAGCAGCGTTCTGGTTCCTGGTGTCCCTTTAACATGGCTCGCTTGTCTCGGCCTCCTTAGTTGCTCCCAATGCCATCCCAGCTCCTCTTGGATGCTGCCAGCCCAGCTCTGGAAACCGTGTTGAGCAGTCCTTCCACGCTAGAGCCCGGGAGGGGAGGGGGCAGGGGACCCTGGCCCGTGCGTTAGCGAAGGCCACTCAGCAGGGCGCGTTCCACCGTGTCTGTCTTAGTTTGTGTGGTTTGGTGCAGACCTGGGAGGTCAGCCTTTCCAACCGTGTGGTGTTTGTGCAAAGCAGTGTGAGAATTGAGAAGGAGACGATAGCCTTGGCCAGTGTGGATGGGACCCACAGCAGTCAGGCATCCCAGGGCAGAGTCTCTGGGCTGGGGCGTATTCTGTGCTGCGAGCGAAGGCCCAGCGGTTTCCCAGCTCCCCCTGTGGCCTCTCCTCCAGGGCAGCCTTGGTGCTGGCTCTGACACGGAGTTCGCAGGGTCGAGCGGTGGTGAGGCCAAGCGCAGGTGCTGGAGGCCCGAGAGCAGCTTTCCTTCCCTGTTTCCTGGAACACGTGCAGGGGACGCGGGGAGCTATCTCCGCGGGTGTGAGTGTGAACCGTCCGTCCATTCCTTCCTCTGCTGCAGATGAGTGAGAGCGAGACTCTCATCAGTATGGTGAACCGCATGGTGGAGAACTCCTCCCCCAGGGCCCAACTCTTCATGCAAGTAAGACCTCTGCCTGGCAGCATGGTCCCTGTCAATGCCATCTCAGCTGCTTGTGCATGGTCGGGTCACCCCACCTGGGATGAGGCTCACTCTGCCCAGACTGCTCATCTGCCGGGCCTCATCCCCGCCCCCGAGACAGGCTCAGCCTGCTCTTCCTCCTTAGCTGCACTGTGTCACCTCCATTCTTCACGTTCATGGGTGAACCCAAGCCCATTTCCCAAACCATCCGAATAGCCAGCATTGACATCCCATGCCATGCTGGGGACTGCAAGCCTGCTTTTCAGTATCCATGACTCCCGATTCGTGTTTACTGTCTTCCTGACAGACATTGTTGGGGTTCAGGGTGTGAGGGGCGTAACATGGGACCATCCGATACCAGAGGTGCATGGACTGTGCTGTAGTCACCTGCCATGTCATCAAGGCTGAGAAGTATTAGCTGAATCCAGAGAGGCTTCTAGATTCTTGCCAGTCAAGGCCTGTGATTAGTGTTCAGTACTAGGGTAACAATTCTTTTTTATTTATTTGTTTTTTTGTGTGTGGTGCTGGGGAATCCAACCCAGGGCCTTGTGCATGCGAGGCACACACTCTACCAACTGAGCTCTATCCCCAGCCCTGGGGTAACCGTTCTAAAGTGTTCCCAGTGTTCACTCCCACCGTGCTGCCTGTCCTGTCACCACACACAGTGGAGGGGTTGTTACTAGCCAGCTACTGGGAGCTCTGTCGCACCCACAGCAGCGAATCCCAGAGCTGAGGGCAGAGGAGATGCAGAGTCCGAGTCCAGCAGATGTCTGGTCTCTCCAGAGTCAGCCAAGGACAACTGGGATGAGTCTAGACTGCGCCATCACAGGCTCCCCAGCCAGGGGACAGAGAATTAGCTCAGAGCCCCAGAACGGAAGCCACCGAGGTGACGGACCACAGTGTGTGGCAGGAACGGAGCAGGATTGTGGTGTCAGCCTGCACGCCTTCAGCCAACCCTGCTGCAGTAACCACCTCGTGTTCCTGCAGGTCCCTCCGTACCCAGAAGTGTTCCGGGACGGCCTCCACACCTTCAAGTTAAACGAGCAAGACACGGATGTAAGGGCAGCTCTCCCTGCTCCCTCTGTCCACTGCAGCCACCTCCTGCTCTCCTTCTCATCCTCCTTCCTCTCTGGGGCTTTTTCTCCGTCCATCTCTTGCTCCTCCTGGTGGCTCTTCATACATTTGACTCATGTCCTCCCTCGCTACAGACACAGCATTCGACCTGCCTCCTCATCCCCCTTCTTTTCTAGATCTTACCACTGACTCCCCCTTCCCTCCCATGCGGGCGCCATGCATTTCCCCGCTGAGCTCCAGGTCTGCTGGTCTGTAGCAGTGGGACCTGCTGGGAGCAGGCCAGCAGGCCTTGTTGAGAGTTATGTCAGTCAGTCTGCTCTGGGCCCAGCAAGGTGCTAGCCCCGACAGGTAACTAGAAAGAATACACCTGCTCTGGCCCTCAGGGGGCTTCAGGCAGTTGGAGACACCAGCCGCAGGAGGTGGCAATAGAGATTCCGTTACTGAAAGGACCAATAATAGTTTCCTCAGAGATGGGGGATGTGAGGCCATCTGAGGTGGTAGGTCAGGAGCACAACAGGTAGCTGGGAGCTGGGCCTTGAAGGTCAAAGGCCCAGAGGGCAAGATTTGGCTCAGAGGAAGGGATCCGATGAGTGGCCTAAGTGGATGTGGAGAGCACAAGTCTTTCCAGAAGAGGGATTTAGCCCAACTTGTCTCTATGCTGCTGGCCCTGCTCAGGCAGGGGATCTGAGCAGCGGACCCAGGAGAGGTTCCAGCCAGGCAAGGGTCAGAGCTCACAGGGGCCCCAGGGTCTCAGGATGAGAGAGCAGGGGCTTCCCGTGGGACTGAGGGGCCAGTTGACACTGCACTGCTTTCTCTCAGACTGCTTACGCCCACACCTGCTGCCCTTCCCATCCTGCTGGGGAGGTGAAGCCACAGTCTTCTCTGAATTGCTCTCCTGCTGGAAAATGGGGGTGTGGGCATCTAAAATGGGGCTCTCGGGCCTCCCGGCCCCCTGCAACCTGACCCTCTTCCTCAGAGAATAAGTACATCTCCCCTTCCAACATGGAGACCCTCCTCTTCCTGGAAGCCTTCGAGGTTGAGGCAAAGGCTCAGGGTTCCTCAGCAGGGGAAAGGAGGCGGTATCCAGAGGCCAGGCCCTGCCAGCCCAGTTCCAAGGTTCCCATCAAATCGTGTCCTTCATCCCCTTCTTTCTCCCTCCCCTCCCCCTACTCTGGGCCCCCAGAAGCTGCTGGGCAAGTTGTGTGAGCAGAACAAGGTGGTGAGGGAGCAGGACCGGCTGGTGCAGCAGCTCCGAGCAGAAAAGGTAAGAGCCTGAGGTGGCCTGGAGGGGACGGCGGGCAGGAACTTTGGTTGGTTGTCACCATCCTTACTGAGCCCGTGAAGCTTTGTCCTTCTTTACACTCCTGTCCCACTCATTTCCGGAACTGCTGAGGGTCTCCTCCTAGGGACCATACCCAGGGGGAAGGCAACCTCTGCTAAGCTGCCTGGTTGAGTGGCCAGGGCTTAGGCCTCTGCTGTTCAAACCCCAGAAAGGAGCTATCGGGGGCAGCTGACGTCACTCTCCCACTTTCTCCAGGAGAGCCTGGAAAGTGCCTTGATGGGGACCCACCAGGAGCTGGAAATGTTTGGGAGCCAGCCCGCCTATCCCGAGAAGCTACTGCACAAGAAGGAATCGCTACAGAACCAGCTGATAAACATCCGGGTGGAGCTGTCTCAGGCGACCACGGTAACCTGGGAGTGGGGTCTGGGTGCCCCTCACCATCCATCTGTGCTACCCTAATCCTTGGAGGGCAAAATCCAATTGCTCCCACCCAAGAGGGGCATTAGCAAAGACCCTAACTCTGCCTTGCGACAAGTATACCAGTCCATTCATTCCATAGTTTCCACCTAGAAAAGGAATTTATTTCCCATCAGCCGTAACCGTATCCGAATTCCTTCAGGACAACCTCAAGTGGAGGGTTGATCATTTCCTTGGTTGCTCCAATGCCTCTGCTGCCTACTTCTGTTCTCTGGCTTGGAGAGGCAGCACTGGAGGTTTGGCTGTGGTTCTGTCCTCTCCCAGTGCGTACAGGGTAGAGCCTCCAGCACAGGCTGTTTGGATAATGATGACTTTGAGAAGCAGCAGCAAAGGCCCCAGGCAAATGTGGCCCAGAAAAGAGGAGTGTGTCTAAGTTCCAGGGAACACACACCCTCTCCCAGGCCCTTTCCTCTTTGCCCACCACTCCTGGTCCCCCACCCGGGGGAGAAGAGGAGAGTGCAGAAGTGATCAGCCCCTCTCTGCCTGGCCACATGCCTAGAAGGATCAGCTTTGTTTCTTGTGGGATGTGCCCCAGTCCCTCTTGTAAGGCTAGTGTTGGCTGTCATCAAAATGTCTCTGCCTTGTGCCCCTCACCTTCTGTTCCTCTGGGTCCCCCTACCCAGGCCTCAGACTTCAGGTACCCTGGTCCCGTCACAGGGCAAGGAGGGAGGCCTTGATGGAGGCCGCTTTTTCAGCCCACCCCCTCTGTCTTACAGGCGCTGACCAACAGCACCGTGGAGTACGAGAACCTCGAGTCCGAGGTCTCCGCCCTGCACGATGACCTCTGGGAGCAGCTCAACCTGGACATCCAGGTGAAGAAGGGCCCCCGAGCAGACAGGGCTGGGATGCGCGCTAGGTCTTCCGTGGTCCTTTTGGGCAGAAGAGACCAAAGCTGTCTCCTTTCTCTCTTCAGTGACTTCAGAGACTTAAGGAGCTGGTCTTGAAACTAAAGACCACTTGTAACAGACTCTTGAGTTTCGGGGTGAACATAATGTGGGTTTCTTCTTTATTCCCACCAACTCACAGGGGAAGGAGCTAATGCCAAAGCATGGAGACTTAGGTCAGATCTAGAGTGTTCTATGACAAAGGATTTAAAACACAGACATAGAAATGTCTCCCATGCTGTCGGAAGAGTGGCCAGAAGCCAGGCTCAGTGGCGCACACCTGTAATCCCAGCGACTTGGGAGGCTAAGGAAGAAGGATCATGAGTTCAATGCCAGCCTCAGCAACTTTGTGAGAGACTGTTTTAAAATAAAATGTAAAAAAAGAGAGAAAGAGAGAAGAAGAAGAGGAGTGGGCAGAACCGGAGTGACCTATGCAGGAGTTTACGTAGGAATGAGGCTTTCCTGCCTGGGCTGGGTTGGAAACAGCCAGTCTGCAGGCAGAAGGACAGACAAGTGACCTTGAGCAGCTCTTGTTCTCTGCTTCCTGTCTTTTTTCTGTCCAGGCCCTGTCCCTTCTCCGGCTAGTTTTACCAGCCCTGTTCCCCTGATGTAGTTAACACTCTGGTTTCCCCCATTTTCCTTCTGGTAACAAAACTCACCTCTCCTGCCCTCCCACTGACTGGGCAGGGTGATGGGAAGACTTCTCTAGAAGTCCTCCCACGTCCTGTGGGCAAGCCACACTCTGAACACGCATTTTAGGAAATGGAGCAGGGTTGCGGTCAGCTTCTGATCAAGTTTTGGATCCACATGCAAATGGTGGGCATGTCACTTACACTCCACATGGTCCTGGGCGCTAGGCCCCTCATCTCTGAAATGGGGCAATGCCGCCCTTACCATGTAGAGCTGTTGTGCTGCCAGAATGAGCTGGTTCGTGCAAAGCCCTGGGCGTGGCGCCTGGTACTAGGTGATGTGGCGTGAAGGGTGCTGTCGTCTTCTGCAGTTACAACCTGCGCTGAGGGTGCTCCATGGCTGTAGGGTGCGTTGGGTGAGGGTGTTACAAAAGGACTGTTCGGAGGTGAAGAAAAACACACAGAAAACAGGCTACCACATATGGCGGCATCGCTCTCAGACCACCCTGATGCGCCATGGGGGAGCTCAGAAGGGTCGATTGTTACTCTTGGTTCTGAGGCTCTGGCAATTCTGGGGACACAGTTTCACGCAAGCCAAAGAATCAAAGGCTTCCCATGAGAAGGAGGCCCACGTGGGAGAGGTTGTGTGCGCATGCCCGTGCAGGCAGGGCTGCTGCCTCCTGTGAGTCCAGAGAGGTGCTGGTCCAGGGCTCTGGGCTGGGGATGAGGGCAGGGACAGACACCCCTTAGAGCTATTTCCTTTGACCCACTCTGCAATTGTTTCAGAATGAGGTGCTCAACCGGCAAATCCAGAAGGAGATCTGGAGGATCCAGGATGTGATGGAGGGGCTGCGGAAGAATAACCCTTCCCGGGGCACAGATACCGCCAAACACAGAGGTGGGAGCCTCCTGGGCCTCGTGCTTCTCTAGAAGTGCTCCAGCGATTCTGGCCTCCACTCACACCTGCCATCTCACTCTGTGCTCAGAGCCAGCGGGGACCTTCTCAGGGTTCCAGAATCTTCCCCTGAATCCTAGGGTGGTAGGCTGGGCTCCCTTATCCGCTAGGGAGACAACTCAGAGACCCTGCTGACCCAGATGCCCTACAATCCTCCCCAGGAAAGGTCAAAGCACCCCTGAGCCTCCCTGACCCCACCTGGGCCCACTGGTGACCTCTCCTCTAGTGCTTTCTTTGAGCCCTGGGCCCTCAGGCTGCCTTTTTTGACACCTTGGAGGCCACAGTGTTAGCTCCATCTACCACCTCTCCTTGCTCAGGGCCCCTCTTGACAGCCAGCCTGTGATCCCAGCCACCTCTAGTAAGTCTCTTGCAGCAGGGCTGGATGGTCCTCCCTCTCATATCTCAGCCTCGGGTCTCCCTCCTCCTCCCGCATCCCCCATGTACACAGCAGGCCCCGCCTCTACTCCATGCCTCACCTCTCTCCCCTTCCGTCCCCCCCCCCCCCCCCCCGCAGGAGGACTCGGCCCTTCAGCCACCTACAGCTCCAACAGCCCAGCCAGCCCTCTCAGTTCCGCCAGCCTCACCAGCCCCCTGAGCCCCTTTTCACTGGTGTCTGGCTCTCAGGGGTCCCCCACCAAGCCGGGGTCCAATGAGGTAAGCTGAAGAGATGGAGCACAGGTAGGCAGGGGAGGGAGGGGCACATCCTCATTTCCCTAAAGTCGCACGAAGTCGGTGCCCATCTCTTCCGCAGAGGCTTCAATCCCAGTGCTTTGGCCCTTTCTCTAAGGGGGTCACTCTCACAGCTGGTCGTGTGGCCTTCCTCTGCATCTGCTCTCATTTCCTCCTCAGCCCTCTTTCAGCTTCCTGAGCACCAGGATAGTTAGCAACCATCCCCTGCACTTGACCAGCAGGCAAACCCGGGAGTGTTCTGGGGGTGGCCGGGTGCAGGGTCGGTGTGGGAAGCGGTTTCCTGGTCAATCAGCAAGTGCTCATGAGAGCTCTGGGCAGCCAGGGAGGGGATCAGGCCCTCTCGGGAAGACACTCATGATGACCCAGGTTCCCCCATTTCACTCGGGGAGCCCAGCATCCTACAGGGACAATCTTGGTATTGAGCCCTGGGGTTCAGACTGTAGATGCTCTGATACTCCAAAAGAAGGGAGGGAACCAAAGGCAGGTGGAACTTCAACTAGGCCAGTGAGCGTTTGGAAAGGTAGAGGAACAAGGAAGAGGTGTTGTGGCAGGAGAGATGGCAGAAACAAAGGGAGGGGAGTGAGGGGAGGGAGGGGAGAGCTCTGGAGAAAAAGTGGGAGTCGGGGGAGTGGCGGGCGGGTGGGGACTCGGTTGAGGAGGGCCTCGAAGCTGGCGCTCTTTCTAGGCCCGGGGAGGGATCCCAGGTCCTGGGCCCATCCTGCATTTCCTGTAATGATGACGTCTGGCTCCTGCTAATGCTCTTCTCTCCTGCTCTCACAGTGGCTGCTCTTGCTCCTCCTAATGCTCTGGCTTCTCTGACACAGGAACCTGGCCCACCTCGGCCTCCCCTCCCCAAAGCCTACGTTCCCCTGGAGTCTCCTCCCACCGTCCCTCCACTCCCTAGCGAGAGCCGCTTCTGGCCATACCCCAACTCCCCTTCCTGGCACCACAGTGGCGAGACAGCCAGGGGTCAGGTACCCAGCACCCTTGGGTTCTGGAGGGTGGGGACAGGGGAGAACAGGGCAGAGGGCCAAGGCCAGGGGTCAATGCAAGGCCCTGGGGTTGTTTTCCTCACTCATTTTTCCAAAGCTCAATTACCACTAGGCCCTACCCCATTGGACTCTGGGATAAAGAAAATATCTTGAGAGTCACAGGTCACCTTTCCCCTTTTTGTTCTCTGTGGACGGTGGGGAAATGAGGTGCTGCCCCACTCTGACCCCAGGCTCACAGGCAACAAAGGTTGTCAACGCTGATGTCATCATGCCCCACTCCCTGCCAACACGACCCACCAAAGGAAATTGAGCAACACTCACCCCCAGTGCCATTTTAGTCCCTGTCCACCTCGGAGCCAGCCTTTTGTGTTTCCTTTCTGCCTCTGTCACGTCTCGTCTTCTTTGGGTCTGAGCTCCTATACGGGCCCTCTTCTCCCCTAATTGAGCCTCTTCTCTCACCTGGATTCCTAGCCAAGATCCAGGAGATGGGCATTAGGCTTGGAAGAGGTCATGTGGTAAGACATCTGTGCCTAAAATTGGAAATCCATGAGCTCATCTAAGCTCGGTTCCGTGTAATTTGTGTAACTCTTGAGAGTTCACAGTGAGGTGCACAAAGCAGGTAATGTTACCTGTATTTGACGGGCAAAGAAAGGGGATGGATCTTACCCATGCTTTCCAGTTGGGCTAGAGCTGAGGTCTCTGACCCTTAGCCTGGTCTTTCCAAATTCTACTCACTGAGACTTGGATTATTCACTGTACAATGGGAGGAGGTGGCTCAGATGATATCCGAGGTCCCTTCTAGCCTCACGATTAGTTATGAGCCCATAACTAATGCCCCTTTCCTTCCCCCAGAATCCTAGTACCCAGGCCCACTGGGTTCTGTTTGCCACAGTCTTAAGTGGAATCTTCAGATTCCTCAGAGACCCTAGGCTTTGCAGCCCCCTCCGCTGGCCATTCCTTGACCCTGGCTCACAGCAAGTCTGTGCTGCTTAGAACTTGTCATGACAACTGGTCAGTTTGAGGGCCTCTCTATGCACCTTAATAAGCCCTTTTGGAGGCCCTAAGTGCTTATTCCCCAAGATGGCCCCAGGTTAATCAGCCTGAAGATGCATGGAGAGGAATCTCCGGTGCGTCGTGGCCACTCCCCATCTGGCACACATAGAATCTCCCTGTTTCCTGTGTCTTACGAGTTTGAGCTCCAACCATTGCAAAATAAAGAAGTGTCACTGGGGGCCAAATTCCCAGCAGCCACTCTATTGTCAACCACCTTCTCGTTCTTCTCCCCAGCCCAAGGCAAGTTATGAGCAGAGCAAGAAAGACCCTCACCAAACGTCACCCCTGGACACCCCTAGAGATATCAGCCTTGTGCCCACCAGACAAGAGGTGGAGGCAGAGAAGCAGGCAGCTCTCAACAAAGGTACTTTCTGGGACATCTTCCCCCAGAGGTAAGGCTAAGGGTGGGAGAGGAGCCTGGAGGCTCATTTAGACCTGAAGAGAGCGCTTACCCAGCTGGGCCTGTAGCCTGCTTCGAGTGAGACTGAGCCTCCCTGCCTTCCTGCTCGGCATGAGGCCCACGGCTACTCTTGCCTCCCTGCAGTTGGCATTGTGCCCCCTCGGACAAAGTCACCTGCAGATGAAGAGTTGGCCCCATCAGCGGTGGTGAGGAGAACAGCCAATGGACTTGCCAATGGACTGTCCTCCAGGGTGAGTCCATGACCTGACTCTCAGAGCTGGTGTGGGTCTGTGCTGGTCTATGAGCCCAGGGCTGTGAGCGTCCACCATCTTCCATTACTGTTCCAAAAATCTAGGGCTAGGGGAGAAAGGTGTAGAGCAAGATCCCCTTTAGGAAGACATGTCAAGGGACAGGGAAGATGGACATAATAAATATAATTCCTAATGAAATTATAACATGCCATTGGTGAAATAAAATAGAGGAAAAGTGGCAAAAACCAGAGGTCACAGTCAAATGTGCTGACCCAAGGCAGGGCATTCGTTCCCTAGGGCTGCTGGGAATTTGAAAAACGCACATGAAGTAGTATAAGACAAGATAAGTGTATTCTCTCAGTGTGGAGGCCAGAGTCTCCAGTCAAGGTGTCAGTACCTTGGACACTCTAAGGAACAGTCCATTCTACACTATACCCTTCCCCTAGTTTATGGTGGCTCCTGGCAATCCTTCGTTTCCTTCTCTTGTGGACACATTAGTCCAGCCTCTGTCTCCATGTCACTTTTTCCTCTGGGTGTCTCTTTTTCTATATCTTAGAAGGACACCTACCATTGGATTTAAGGTTCACCCTAATTTATAATGATCTCATCTTCAGATTCTTAATTATGTCTGCAGAGACCTATTTCCAAATAAGGTTGTAGGAGGATCGTGAGTTTAAAGCCAGCCTCAGCAACTTAGCGAGACCCTGGCTCTAAATAAAATAGTTTAAAAAAGGATGAGGATGTGGGCTCAGTGGTTAAGCCCCTCCGAGTTCAATCCCCCGGTACCACAACAACAACAAACAAATAAGATCGTAGTCACGTATTGAGGGTTAATGCTTAGGCATGTTTTAGGAAGGCTACTATTCAACAACTGTACTCCCAAGTTTTATGCCATTCCACTTGCAAAATCCATCCATTCCTATATCCCCAAAAATATCCACTCATGGCATCAACTCTAAGTCTAGAATCTCATCTAAATATCATTAGCTCAGAAGTCCCAATTTCACCATCTAAGTCATCTTGATTATCAAGTATGTGTGAAACACAATAATATAATCAATCTTGGGGCAAAATTCCTGTCTTCCTGTGAAGCTAGAAATAAGCTAATCAGCTTCCAAAACGCAATAAATAATGGGACAGGTAAAAGGTAGTCATTCCTGTCCCCAAAAGGAGAAATTAAAAGGAATAAAGGAATTACTAGTCCCAAGTAAGTCTGAAATCCAACAAGGAAAATTCCAGTAGGTATGCATGTATGTCGCATGTATTTTTCAGTGCTAGGGGTCAGGGCCTTGTGCATGCTAGGCCAGCCCTCTGTCATCAAGCTACACTCCCTGCCCCTGTTAGGTTTTAAGGCCTGAGAATGATCTGTGGCTCGCTGGCCTTCCCTCTGTATTGATGAGGGTTCTGTCCACCTTTGCTGCTAGGCCTGCCCCTCTAGTTTGCTTTTAGAGTCAGTATTCCTGTGTGTGTGTATGTGTGTGTGTGTGTGTGTGTGTGTGTGTGTGAGAGAGAGAGAGAGAGAGAGATATCTAGGGATTAAACCCAGAGTGTTCTACCACTATCTGCATTCTAGCCCTACTTATTTTTATTTTGAGACAGTATTTTGCTAAGTTGCCTAGTCTGGCTCAAACTTTGCAATCCTCCTGCCTCAGCCTCCCAAGGTGCTGGGATCGCAGGGCCTGTGCCGCACCTGGCTCCTTCTTCCTTTTTCTTGGCACAAGTTTGTGGCCAAGGAGCTCTATCAGCCTATTTCCTACCTGTAGGATCCCAGAGATCTGACATCCCCCACATCTTTTCTCTCTCTTTTGTTACACACTAGCAAGTATGTTTGCTGATACAACATTCTCAAAAGCACAGGTAGGCTCCTGGATATTTCAAGGAGATCCATGCTGCTAGAAGACTCTAGAGATCCTTTCTGGATAATCCCATCTCTGATTCTGGTTTCTGAGATGATGGATTGGATTCATGAGTCCCACACCTAATCTCTTCAGCTAAGTCTTGTCCAACCACATCTTTGATTGCCTTTCTTTCTTTTAAAATATTTTTTAGTTATACATGGACATAATATCTTTATTTTATTTATTTATTTTTATGTGGTGCTGAGGATCGAACCCAGTGCCTCACATGTTCAAAGGCAGGCGTTTTGCCACTGAGCCACAACCCCAGCCCCTGATTGCCTTGGCAATACTTTTCCAACAGGGAATTTTCCTAATTTAAGTGAGAACCTCCCAAATAATAAAGTGCAGATTTATTTATCTCCTCCTTCAATTAATCTTTCTTCTCTCATTTTATCACAAGTGCAAAGATAATCAGGCCACACCCTCACCACTTTGCTGGGGATCACTTATAAGTTCTGCTCTCCACTCAACAACAGGATACGAATCAGCGGAGTTCCTGCCACTTTGTAACAAAGATGTCCTTTCCTCTACTTTCCAATAATTTGTTCCTCATTTCCTTGCGAGACTTCTCCAAAACACCTCCATTTTCTACCAACTTGTATTCTCTAAAGTCAACCGAAGGGGCTGGGATTGTGGCTCAGCGGTAGAACGCTCACCTAGCGCGGGCGGGACCCGGGTTCGATCCTCAGCATCACATAAAAATAAAAAGGCATTGTGTTGTGTCCATCTACACCTAAAGTCAACAGGAGCTTTCTCTTCTCTTCATTTCTTCTACACCCTCACCAGAATCTTCATCAAAGTTTCTATGTCTACCAGTCATCTCTTTAAGGAAATCTAGGCTTTTTCTATCATTTACCTCAAAATTTGTTCAGCCGCTACCCATTATCCAGTTTCTAAGTTTCTTCCACATTTTTATTATTTTGTTGTTGGTTTTGTTTTGTTTTTACAATAGCATCCATTTCCTAGCACCTAAAATCTGTGCTAATTTTCTAGGGCTCCAGGAGCAAACTACCACTTACTGGGTGACTTAAAACCATGGAGGGGCTGGGGTTGTGGCTCAGTGGCAGAGTACTTGCCCAGCATGTGTGAGGCACTGGGTTCGATCCTCAGCACCACATAAAAAATAAATAAATAAAGGTATTGGGTTCATCTACAAATAAAAACATTCAAAAAAGAGAGAAAAAAACATAGAAATTTAACTCTACATCATGTACAACCAGACGAACGAGAAGTTATACTCCGTTTATGTATGATGTGTCAGAATGCAGTCTACTGTCACGTACAACTAATTAGAACAAATGAAAAAATATAAAATATTTTACAAACTTTAAAAAAAATAGAAATTTATTCTTTCATTTATGTGAAGTCCAACATCAAGTGTTGGCAGGACTGGTTAGGACTGGTTCCTTCTGGAGGCTTCGAGAGAGAATCTGCTCTGGGCCTCTCTTCTGGCCTGTGGGTATTGCTGACAGTGCCTGGCATTTCTTTTCATGTAGGTGGGTCACTCTGATCTCTGCCTGCATCTTCCCATCTTCTCCTCTTCTCTTTCCTGTCTCTTATGAGGATACCTGTTATTGGACATGGGGCTGCTCTGATTCACAATGATTTATACTTCAAGTAAAGTTATATTCACGTATCAGGGGTTAGGACTTTTTCCTGTCTTTTTTTTTTTTTTTTTTTTGGTACTAGGAATTGAACTCAGGGGCACTCCACCACTGAGCCACATCCCCAGCCCTATTTTGTATTTTATTTAGAGACAGGGTCTCACTGAGTCGCTGAGTGCCTCGATAAGTGGCTGAGGCTAGCTTTGAATTTACCAGTCTCTCAAGCCATTGGGATTACAGGTGTGTGCCACTGTGCCCGGCTTAGCCTGTCTTTTGGGGACCACTGTAGTCAGGCTTCCCATAGAAGGGAAACCTGGGCAGGAGGTGAAGCACCTGTCTGAGCCTTATTTCCCCACTGCAGCAGGAGCGCCCCAAGAGTGCCGTGTTCCCAGGTGAGGGCAAGGTCAAGATGAGCGTGGAGGAGCAGATCGACCGCATGCGGAGGCACCAGAGTGGCTCCATGAAGGAGAAGCGGAGAAGCCTGCAGCTCCCAGCCAGCCCTGCCCCTGAGCCCAGCACCCGACCTGCCTACAAAGTGGTACTGTGCTCCCTGCCCCCACAGGCCCAAGCCTGGCAGCTACCCACACTGCCAGCTCTCAGGCCACGGCCAGCCTGTGCCAGGAAGGTTGGGGAGAGGGGAAGCTGAGAGAACCCAAGCCAGGCTCCTGGGATAACTGGGGGGAGGCTTCTCACCACAGGGCAGAATGTTTCCTGTTTACCTTTAAAGAAAAATAATGCACAAAATGATTATTTTTGTTGAAATAAATTATGCAAAGTTCAGCTAGTGGAGAATCCACCACTAGGGCACCATTAGGGCACATTTCTGGAGACTCTTCTATGTGCTTAGTGTAGAGCTGGGCATCCTGAAGACAGGCACCGTAGCAATGCAGTTCACAGATCAAGTCGTGTCATTCAAAGCCTTTTAACACATTGGGTGCAGCATGTGAAGACAGGAGACAGCAGGGTTGGGAGTGGCTAGTATTGACAAGAGATATGGATGAGACCTTGCAGGTGGGCAGGCTTTGGGAAAACAGAAGGGAAGGGAGAGGGCTCTGCAGTGGAGGACGGTGGGAGCCATGGGGTGGCAGTCAGATCAAATGTGCACTGGTCAAGGACAGTGAGGATCTAGGTGTGGTTAGAGCTACCTGGAGGCATAAGTAGCAGTGATGGTCACCACAGGGCTGTCCCCTAGGTGCGCCGTCACCGCAGCATCCACGAGGTGGACATCTCCAACCTGGAGGCAGCCCTGCGGGCAGAGGAGCCTGGTGGCCAGGCCTATGAGACGCCACGGGAGGAAATTGCCCGGCTTCGGAAAATGGAGCTGGAGCCCCAGCACTACGATGTGGACATCAATAAGGAGGTGAGTGGAGCCCCCAGCAGGGAGACCCTGGGAGCAGATCAAAGGGGTGACCCCAGTGTCTCCACAGCTCTCCACCCCAGACAAAGTCCTCATCCCTGAACGGTACATTGACCTGGAACCCGACACTCCCCTGAGCCCCGAGGAGTTGAAGGAGAAGCAGAAGAAGGTGGAAAGGATCAAGACGCTCATTGCCAAATCCAGGTGAGCAGGTCTGGGTGGAGCTCCACTGCCTCTGCCCTCCCTGGCACCGAGAATACCTGGGGCACTAGATGTCATGGGGGCACTGAGCCTCCCAGGGTAGAGCAAATGGAAGCCGTGGCTCGAGGCAGCGGGCCGGACTCAGGAATCTCGCAGGGGCCAGGATGCTGCTGTGGGGCCCTCGAAAGGCCCGCGGGGTTCACACACATACCATGAAGGGTTGCCCTCTGTTGACCTCTTTTCCCCTCAAGGCTGCCCTAAGTGTTCACTTGAACCTTTGAATTCAGTTGAAAACATCGAGGCAGGGGTCCCAACTGTTTTGCCAGGGTCCCACTCACTCCTAGGGACAGCCTTGCTGGGCACCAGAGGCTACATCCTCGAAGGCCCCTGGCCCTGCCCACCAACCTCAGCCTGCAGGCCACCCCAAGCCAATTGGACCATGCTGTCCCTCCCTCCATGTCTGTGTGTCTGTGCCTCTTCAGTATGCAGAACGTGGTGCCCGTCGGCGAGGGGGACTCTGTGGACGTGCCCCAGGACTCAGAGAGCCAGCTGCAGGAGCAGGAGAAGCGGATTGAAATCTCCTGCGCCCTGGCGACCGAGGCCTCCCGCAGGGGCCGCATGCTGTCTGGTGAGAGGGGCTGGGCCTCGCTCGCTCCACCAGGGAGACCAGCTGACCAGGTGTAGGGGAGGAAGTGCTGAGCTGCAAGGGGGGCAGGGACAGAGGTAGGAGGCTAAGGAGATGTTCCCCAAGGTGAGGGTGAGCATTTATTGAGCACCAGGTACTGTGCTAGGCCCAGGGGAGTGGAAAGGGGCTGGCGTTGCTGATGATCCTCTGAGCCAGTTCATGGAGGAGTGGTCAGAGGCCAGCAGGAGCACAGGGGCCATTCTGCCTGGGCAGGTCAGGTAAAGGCACAGAGAGGGAGTGATCATGCAGCTTGATGGGAGAGGTGTTTGCCAGTTGGGGAAAAAAGCGTCATATCCTTTCCCTGCCTGTTCTTGCTAAATGCAAATAGGAAGAATAAAACAGAAGAATTTTTACACAGAGAAGCAGTCAAGGAGTGGAAAGTCATATAATCACCTCCTTGGCTGCTGACCAAACCCAGTTTCCTGCCAAGAAAAGGTGAGGATGAGGAAGTGACTTCAACCCTTACAAAGGTCCCAGCTAGACATGATAGGGGCGAAGTCACCAGGATTAGCTTTTGGTTAGCTGCAGACAGTATCCCAGAACAGATGAGGGTGTGATCAGGCTTTGAAGAAGGAAGTCAGTTCTGTATGAATGGGAGGGTAAAGGTGGAGGACAGAGAGTAGCAAGTCACATAGACTGGAGACTGTCCCCTTCCAGACAAAGCGAACCTTGAAGGCCCCAGTCAGGAGGGAGCTGTGGCTTGAGGTGACTGGTACAGGAGAGTGGGACTGCTGTGCAGGCCACCGTTACAGCAGTCTGGGCAGGACACAGGAAATAAGCAGATGAGAATCGTGGCAAGGGACACGGAGGCAAGGAGGGAGGTTCCGGTTGGTGATTAAGAAGGGCTCCAATTCTGGTGCTCCGAGGCTGTTTCCTCATCTGTGAAACCCAAATCAAAATGCCTACCTCAGTTCAGGCAGCATGAGGATCAGAAGCGAGGTGTGCCTGGCACCTAGCACTCAATAAATGCCAGCCAGCGGTCGTAGCCGTGATAGTGTTAGTGGTGTTAGTGACACTGGTGGGAGTAGTTGAAAATAGCAATCACTGGCGTCAAAATGGGAACCACTTGTTGGTTTTCTAATTATTTTAAATATGGCTATTTTCAGAAATCAGAGGGTTTCAGGCCACAACAAAAGGTATTTAAGTAAGCCTTAAGGAAGAATCTGCCTGTCAGGTTAGGATGAGCCAGGTGTGGTGGCTCATGCCCGTAATCCCAGCAGCTCAGGAGGCTGAGGCAGGAGGATCACAAGTTCAAAGTCAATCTCAGCAACTTAGCAAGGCTGTAAGCAATCTAGTGAGAACCTATATCTAAAATTTTTTTAAAAGGCCAGGGGTGGGGCGCTGGGGATATGGCTCAGTGATTAAGTGCCCTTGGGTTCAATCCCCAGTACTCCACCCCCCCAAAAAGAGAGAAGTTTTGGCTGGGTAGCCAGGGAAGGCCCCCAGGTACTTCAGGGACAGGCTGTCTGCTGGGCCAGAGCTGAGGGGAGGAGAAGGATGGCTTTGGAGCGCCTTCCTGCAGCCAAAAGGCAGCAGAACCAGTTTGTCTGCAAGCAGGGAGGCCTCTGTTGAACCGTCCTGTAGTTTAGCTGCAAAATGAACTTGACCCAAGATCAAATTCCACATGCTCTGGGCAAAAGGCAACTTCCTGTTTCCAGAGGGCAGAGCACACAATGCTGTTGAAAACCCCACTCTGCCCTGTCTCAGCCCCGGCTCTCTCTGCTGCAGCTCCCCAGCCCAGGGTTCTGTGAAAACAAACCCGCCCAGCCTATCCGATTTCCCCCTCCACACACATGGGCTTACATTTCAGGGTCTGTGTGCTGAAAGCAAATGGTCAACTTGCTTTTGCCAAAACCCCAACTATGTGAAAAATGGCTGTGGTAGGGCCAGACCTCAGACCTAGCTCACTGTCCCCACCAATCCTGGCCTGTGGCCCAGATCCCCCAGAGCAAGGGCTGGTCCTGGGCACATGCAGCGTGGGCATTAGGTTCATGACCAGGACACGGTGGCGGGAGTGGAGAACTGGGTACAGGTTGCTAGGACAGTGAGCAGCAGACACCTGTGCCTGATTGTGGGTGTGCAGCACGGGTAGTGTCTTTGGTGATGAGTGTTGTCATGTTTGCAGCTCCTCCCAGTATGCAGAGTCAGGTGTGTGCTACGTGAGAAGGTGTGGTATTTCAGAGTTTGTGCGTGTGGCCCATCGTGTGCAGCGTCTGTGTCTGGAATGTTTATGGACGTGTGTATTTGTGTGTATTCAGAATGTGCAGCGTGTGGGTGGAGGGAATGTTTGAGTGCAAATAGAGAAGTACAAATAGAGAAGTGCAAATAGAGAAGTGTGTGATGTGAATATGTGTGTGGAAAACGTCCCTAGGTGTTGGGTGGAAAATCGTTTTTTTACAAGTGGTGGTTGCACATGAGTGTACCATATACAAGTGGAGGTCGTAGTTTGCGAGTGCATGTATTTATGTGTGATTGGCTTTTTGTGCAGCACAATGATGAAACCTGTTGGGGTATACGCTGTGTACTGTATGTATTACAAGATTGTGATCATGTGTCTATGCAAGATGAGAGCCAGCCAGTCTCCTGGATGTGATGCAACTAGTCTTCTATGCTTGGATGTGGAACTTAGTACTACACACATTGTACTATTCCATCTGTCCAGTACATATTGGCCACACAGAGGAATTTTAACTATTTTGATATATATATTTCTAGTACAGATTTAGCATTTTTCTGCCTTCTTAAAAAGGTTATATTTACACCATTAACTTTTCTTCTTCATTTCATATCATTGTAAATATCCTTATTTTCCTTATTCCTCTATTAAAGGGATGCTCTTAGGGGCTGTTCTAAATCTATTTGTAGCCATGCAAAGTGTTCCCCTGTTACATTTTTAAAGTTATTATGTTTACTTTTTACAAAAGAGTTTCACTCTTCAGTTGTACCTTCTTGCAGATTCCATGAGGCTCTCAACTGTGCGCTCTCTCTCTCTCTCTCTCTCTCTCTTCCAATTTTCTGGTTCTAATCTACAAGCCAAAACCCCAGCAAGACAACACCTACTGGAATTGTGTATAAATAAGAGTAACTGGTCCGGTATGGTGGCACACATCTGTAATCCTAGCAGCTCGGAAGGCTGAGGCAGGAGGATTACAAGTTCAAAGCCAGCCTCAGCAAAAGTGAGGTGCTAAGCAACTCAGTGAGACATTGTCTCTAAATGAAATACAAAATAGGGCTGGGGATGTGGCTCAGTGGTCTGGTGCCCCTGGATTCAATCCCTGGTAGCCCCCCGCAACTCCATCAAAAAAAAAAAAAAAGAAACTGGACTCTGTCAGGCTCTCCTTGGAGTCAATTATAAGAACCCCATTTGCATGTACATGGTAACATCTACTTGGTTCCCTTGAGATACTCCTTGCCTGCTGGGTGGTGCACACCTATAATCCCAGCAACTCAGGAGGCTGAGACAGGAGGATTGCAAATTTGAGGTCAGCGTCTGCAATTTAGTAAGACCCTCAACAACTTAGCAAGACCCTGTCTCAAAAGAAAAAACAGAAAAGGCTGGGAATATAGCTCAGTGGTAAAGCACTCCTGGGTTCAATCCCCAGTAACAAAAAAGTTAAAAAAAAAAAAAAAAAAAAAGATTCCTGGGCTGGGGTTGTGGCTCAGCGGTAGAGCTCTCACCTCGCATGTGCGAGACCCTGGGTTTGATCGATCCTCAGTACCACGTAAAAATAAATAAGTGAAATAAAGGTATTGTGTCCAACTACAAGTAAAAAATAAAATTTTAAAAAAAGAAAAGAGATTCCTTGCTTAGTTGTTTAGGTTTTGGCTGTCAGAGTTGAGATAACTTATCATGGGATCAGTGATGTGAATATGCGCGCAAATGGATGTTTGGAAGCATTTGTGAATGCATTTGTACATGGCGTTACAACTGTGTGTTGGGTCACATGGAAGGACACGGGCTTGGACGTGCACAGACATTCCCATATCTGAATTGTGTGGAAGGAGTGTAACTGTATGGTGTTGCCAAGTCCCAGACCCAAGCTGTGGATGGCATGTAGGCACAAACTCCCTGTGAGAGCTACGTTGGGTCATGTACACACGTGGCTAAGGGCAGCTCTGCAGTAGCGAGAGCTACAATGGCCCTTTCCTTTGCCCAGAGGTCAGGAAGCTGATGAGGTCCAGGCCGGGGTGGGGAGCAAGGGACTGGGTTCCATTCAGCATTGCATCCCTCTTGGTGGAAATGCAGTGTGACCCTGGCTGAGGTCTGGTTCTTCTCTGAGCCCAAGCGGGGACATGTTCTCTGCCATCCTCCTACACTGAGGATGCGTGAGGTTCCGGTGACTGCATAGAGCTTGTCCCCAGGGATATGACTCTCCTTCCACTTTGCTGTTCTCGACATGGAATGATAATGATAATAGAGTAGAATCTCATTAATCCAAACATCACCATTTCCAACTTTGCGACTTATTCAAGGGTGGACTGCAGTTCGCTTTCACCTGTCGATGCAGTGAGGGTCTCAGGTGGTTGCAGGGAGTGCGTTTCTGAGCCTCCCACCATGTCTAGGCAGACCTTGCTTTCAGCCTATCAATCAGAAAATGTCAGGTTCATGGAACTGATTGCCATGGTGGTCCTTTCTCTTCTATATCTGCTCTGACGGTTTGGATTATTGTGATTTTACTGCACTATGAATCATTATCTTTAGTGATGCCACCATATATAAAGCGCCTCATCCTCTTTCTCACTGCACAATGGTGGAGAGGTATGTGACCCTCCCACTGTGTGGATGGGAAGGGAGCCTTTGGCCCAGAGAGGGCCCAGCCTCACCCACAGTCACACTGGTTCTTAGCAGAGCCTGGATTTGGCCAGGTCTCCTCTAGGGCCTCACTCTGCTCCTCGGCACCCTGGGAACAAGGACAGCTTTGCCTCAGCTTGAGCAAGCTCCCAAGCCCGGCTCTCTCTCTGCTTGCTGCCCGCCTTGCTCCCTGCCTGAGGAAGGGCCTCGCTTGCTCTGGGTCCCCAGCCTCGCCCCCATCCCTCCGCCCCTATTCACTCCCCTGTTCATTTCTGTTTCCAGTGCAATGTGCCACCCCAAGCCCTCCCACCTCCCCTGCCTCCCCGACTCCACCAGCCAACCCCCTGTCGTCTGAATGCCCACGGGGCGCCGACAGCAGCCTTACCATGCGGGTCTGAGCTCTGACGTAAGCACTTTTCTACTGTCCTTCACCCCCACCCCCAGGGAATGGGTAGGCCCCTCCCATCACCCCACAAAGCCCCCTTCCCACCCATCCCACCCCGCATTGCTTCTCCCCATCCCAGAGCCCCGTGTTCATCGTCCCTCCCTCCATCTGCTTGAGCCACCTGCGTGGCGACCCGGGCAGTGCTGGCTGCAGGCTGCTGGCGAGGCTGCTTCTTGGAGGAGGTGACGCCCGTGGGCTTCGCTTCTCCAAAAGCAGAAGGGATGGCGCTGAGACTCGCCCATCTGCTATGGGGGAAGGCACTTCCCTGGCACCCCATCCCTGTACCTCCACCTGTTTCCCCGCACCCTGTGCCCCCACCTTGTACCCCCACCTATGTTCCCCCACCCCATCACCCTCGCCTCTACTCCTCCTGCCCCTAACCTCCCACCTCCATTCCCCATCCCACACCTCTCACCTCTGTTTCTGCCCCGTGTCCCACCTTATATCTCCCACCCCTGATTCCTATTCCTCTGCTCCTCACCTCTTCTCTCCCTGCCCTTACACCCCCACTCCTATGTCCCTACTCCATACCCCTGCCCCTATGCCCCCACCCCATGCCCCTCTCCTATCCCACCACCCTCCTCCCACCAGCCAGCCAGCCTTCCATCTATTGAGATCCATGGCAATCCTGCCACAGAACCCTCACAAGCCCCCAGAAGCTGTCCCATGTCTCCATGTCCCAATCTTACTGTGGATGAAAATGCCCCTGGTAGCCGCAGCCCAGGGCTGGTGCCCTTCCCTGCCCCTAGCATGGCCACTCACATCAGGCAAGTGGAAGAGACCTCCTCTCCCGAGCGCCCTCCCCGGGGCTGCGGGTGGGCAGGCTCCAGCAGGTGTCTGTGCCAGGGCTCCTTTCTGCCCGAGGAGATTGGCTGGAGGCGCTGCCGCTGTGCGTTTCTCTTCTCACCCTGTTTCTCTCTTCTCTAGTGCAAGCCCTGGCCGAGGCCAATGCTGTGAAGCTCCACAGGGCCACCTTCTGAAGCGTCCTCTGCCCATGGAGGCCCTGGCTCCCCACTCTGCCCCCGGAAGCCCATGGGAATGCCACCGGAGCCAGAACGGGGTCGGGGCTGCTGCCACGAGGAGCGCGGATGCCTTGGTCTCGCACCTGTGGCGCCTCGCCCTGAGACCCTAGCCACTCGTGCCGTGGTCATGCGGGGCCTGGACAGCGCTGTGGAAGTGCATCCTCTCTGATACCCGAGTTGCAGGGAGCCCCAGCCTGGCCCTGGCTGACATCATGGTGGCCCTCCTGGCACATTCCCTGATGGAGAGTGCACCCCGGTGGAGAGTGGACCCTTAGCCATCTTAGGTGAAGACCAGAGGTGAAGAGGAGGTGGACCCTCTGCCTCTTGGAGCCCTGCTCAGCACCAAGGACGGCAGCTGTCATCATCCCCCTCCCCGCCTGCCCCAACTGTGCACAAGGCTTTGACACATCTCCGCTGTTGGGACTTCTTGGGGTTTGGTGGAGACCAGTCACCCTGCTTGAGCCAAAGACAAGAGGAGGAGAGATGGGGAGAGGCTCCTGGGCTCCCAGAGGGGTCAGTGCTGGCTGTGAGAGAGAACAGCAGGTGTGTGCATGTCTGAGAGCAGGTTGGGAAGGAGGCAGCGAGGAAGGGAGAGATCCTCAGAGAACGGGGAAGGGGGTAGGAGGATGTATTCACAGGCAATGGGGACGGAGGAAAATGGGAAGGTGAGTCAGGTTTGGCTTCTCCACAGCGGAGGCTCCTCTTAGTGCTGAGTGTAGGGCCAGATGGTCATCTCTGCACCTCCACCTCATCCCCAGGAGCATCAGGGCCCCAGGAGGACCCACCAACAGGACACGTGTGGTGTCTCAGCTGGGGTGCTTGTGTGGGACCAGGGCATGTGGTGAAGGGGACTCGGGGAGTGGCAGCCTGAGAGATGATTCTTCCTGGGTCAGGACCCGCTGTCTGCCTCTCCCTCCTGGGATTGGGCAGAGGGAAGAACCTGTCCTGTGTAGGGTGTGGTCAGCCTTGGGGCCTTAGCTAGCTAGTTTCTTGTCCCATCCCGCCTAGAAAGTTCTATGGTCCAGCTGAGTATTTTCCCCAGAGAAGGAATGAGGGGACCCTACTTCTCATCCCAGGTGTCCCAGAGGAGAGTCAGCGGAGGCTGGACTCTGAAAATCCACCTACCAGTGAGGCGGTTGGGGATTGGCAGAAGCAAAACATTCTTCTTCTGCTCCACCCACCTTGAGATGAATGTAGCCAGGGAGGAGGGAGAGAGGGCAAACGGAAGTCACCTGCCCCTGAGCCTTCTCTGCCAGAGCTGCTGCCCAGAGACTTCAGCCTGACCTGCAGCAGCCCCACGAACAACTCGTTCATCTCCACCAATTCCTCTTCACTCCTTCATGGCTGGGACAGTTACTGGTTCATATGCAAGTAAAGATGACCATTCATTCAACAAATATTGATCGAGCACCTTTTATGTACTGTTTAGGCACTGTTCTAGGTGCTTAGAAAATTCTTGGGCTTCTGAGGGTCGACAGACTGGGAGGATCCTCCCCTAGCTTTACTTCTAGCAGGCTTTTTGAATAGGCTCCTTGGCTATGTTCCTATCTTTGCAGATCAAGCACTCCAGATCTGTCCTTTCTCTCTTACAGACTGGCAGGTGGGATTAGCTTCCAGATCACCCTCTTGGCCCACATTCTCCTCCTTCTGTAAGAAACAGATTTTTTAGGCCTTCCCTCCATGCCTTCCCCTCTGTCTCCTATATTTTTTTTTAAAGAAATACAAGGAAGATACCAAGAAATTACATCGCAACTCTGCCACCTCTTTTCCCATTATTTCACAAAGCTGGCTCTTTATGTTGCTTTACATGCCTTAATATATGTTTGATGGAGATGATACATGTTGGAGGTATCTATGTGACATGTTTGTTTAGATGTCAGTCCTTTCCTTGGCTCCTGCCTAGGCCCATTTTCTCTCCGCACCATTTCCTAGCATGTCAGGGCTAACCCCCCTTGCCTTTTTGATCCAAAGAAGGGGAGAGAAAAGACTTATTTTAAGACAGATCTATTTTATGCTTTTGTTTAAAAAGCAAATCTATTTTCAAAATGTGCAATGTCTGAATGGGTTTGCCGGTGATGTGAGGGGACTGCCCTAGGTCCCAATCGAATGCCCTTCCCTCTTCCCCTGACAGCTCCCTTCTTTCCCGTCCCCCAGTCGGCAAAGGGCTGGCCCCCACAGCTCCCTGGAGAGCACCTTGCCAGAGCAGGGCATTCCCTTCGGATGTCCTGTCTAAAGGATGACACTGTCAACTCTCCATGGCGCACCAAGGGTCGTCGGGTGTGTGAACCCTCTTGAGGGAATTGTTTACAGTTGTATGCACAAATGGACTCCCACGCAGGCGCACCCTCCTCAGCTGGGCTCCTGGACCATCTCCCTCCCCTCCATGCTCTGCTGGAAAGGGCAAGCAGTTTTGTGGCAGCCTGTGCTAAATGGCACTAAGGAGGTCATCGATGGACCCATGCTATGTGGAAAGCCCAGAGGAGGTGGCTCTGTGCCATTCCTGGCTCTTTATCGCAGACACATTCAAGTTCCTTGAACTCCTACACTTTGGTCCCTCCCTGTTCTGGGTCACGTCTATGGCATCTGTCTCCCTCTGTGACCTTTTTCCCTGGAGGCTGTTCTTAGGGGTGACACCTCGGTCTGGCATCCAGACTGTGAAATCACCTTCCTTGCTGGGGAAGGTCCAGTGGACCATGGGACATCTCAGCCTTACCCAAGAAACCCCCTGGGCTCTAGCAGGCTGCTGCTGAGACCCTGAACTCTGCCAGCTCAGCCTTCCAAACTGCTTGGTGACTGTCAAAATGAGCAAGGAGGCTTTTGCCTTGCAAGGATTTGGGCAGGATGGGAGTTTTTGTCCAGATCTAAAAACGAGAGTTTTGGGATTTTGCACAGAGCTCTTGGCCAGCATTGAAGCCCAACCTCCAACTGTGGCACTTGCTGGCACTCTGTTCCCAGCTCAGAGCATCTTGCTATGAACGAACAGAGCCCAGATGGAGACCCAGGGCTAAGTGACCGTCCTGGGGAAGCTCTGGTTACCCATCTAGGGCCTTCCCAATTAGCACATTACCTCCCTGATCAATAACCAAGAGGCTGCACTCGAATACTGCTACTGTCACTTTAAAGAATTTTCTGAGGTTGCAAAGCTGTGCACGAGCTCTTCTGCCTTTGCAAGAGGCATGTTCTTGGGGGCAGGGCTGACTACAGCAAGATGGACCGACTTCCTTACCCCTTAGGCACCCTCCACCTGGCAGCTCTTAAAACTAAGGAAAAATATAATATATAAATATATATACATACACATATATCTATTTATGCACATATTGGGGCCAATTTGATTTGCCTAGTATTAGAAAATAAAACCATGCAAGGAAATTTATGATCTCAGTGTCTTTATTTAGTATTAAAGTGACCTTAGATGAAGAGTTAAGGTTAGATAAACAGAGGGCATCTCTGTCGGGACCAAACAGCTGTAGCACCCCCTTAGCATCTGGCTAGCTGAAATAGCATCTGTCTATTTCGCCCTGACTGAAATAGGTGAGAGCTTGTTCCCTCTTTTCAGCAGAATTCTTAATAGATTTAGGCACTGGAGAATACCTGTGAGTTTCGCATTTGTATCTTGCAAGTTTGTATAAACAACAGGAAATAAAATGAATGGTTTGTACACATGGTGTGCGTGTCCACTCCCTATCCGTGCCGGCTTCAGTGTCTAGGAAAAGGGGGCAGAGCTGAGGGGCTGGGATGGACTGGAAGCCTGTCCACCCTCCTACCCAGGCTTCTGTCTGCGCTCCTCAACTTACCTCACAGGCAGAATCCCAGAGTTCTGGAAGAGTGCCCTCTCCCCTCAAGCGGGGGAATAGTGGTCTGTACTGACATCAGTGTCATCGTTCCAAATCAGGTGACCCTAGATCGGGGCTTGTGCTGAGGTGTATCAGATGCTTCAGGCTCAGGTGCCTTCCTTGATTTGTCTCTGAGTCAAGGTAGGAAGGTCGGAGAAGAAAGTGAATCGCTAGCCTTCCTCAGTCTACACGGTGCCTCACACAGCCGCTTTGGGGTGGGGGTGGTGTACAGTTTGGGGGAATACCAGAAGATCACCCCTGTTCTTACCAGGCCTCCATCCCTTGCAGGTGTTTAGTGGTTTCTCAGTGTGTACTCTACAGAATGAGTCAAGAAGCCTGGTAAATTCTATGTGGTGGACGGTGGAGAGGAGAAGGAGCCCCGGGTAGTGCCAGGCCTAGGCCGGATGTCTGAAAATAAGAGTTGCAAGGCAAACTTCCCCTGATTCCTGATTTTGGTTGGTTTGACTGCTGTCACCCTAAACCCCCAGCAGAGTGGGCGTTCATATTGTGGGTTTCTCAGCATCCCCAGGGGAGCTGTAAATCCTGATGATTCCTTTATGAATCGGGGACCAGAGGTAGACTCAAGATAGACACCTTGGAGAACTTGGCACTTTACGGGGGCTCCAAGCCTCTATCTGCAGTCCCCACCTGGTAGAGCCAGCAGCAGGGGCTTGGACAGGAGGTCACTGAGCCCCATGAACATCACTGTGTCCCCAGCCAGCAGCTCTCTTCTCCTGGATCAGATGAGATTGTGCCAGCAGCAGGTCCTGCCAGTTCCACCTTCTGTCCCCGATCCCCATAAGCCAGACTGAGGTTTCTAATAGGGGTCAACAGTCAGGAAATGCAAATGAAAGAGCAGCTACCAACAGGCCCTTTAAGGAGTGGTGCTCCGGAACACCATGACCATGACCCTGAGGGGCAGGCAGGCCACCAGGGGCAGCCCCGCCCCGCCCCTCCTTGCCAGCTACCCGGTGGAATGGGCGCGCTGCCGTGTGAGGTGACCTGAGAAGGCGTGTGGCGTTCTGCTCCTGGTCCTGCTGCTCTTCAGTTTTCCTGGAAGAGGAAGATATCAGCCACCATCTTGAAGAGCCCTCGAGAATGTCAAATGAGGAAACAGATGGAAAACCCTTTGAAAGCTCAAATTCACTTACAACCGTGAGGGAGCAGTGGTGGTGGTGTGGGAAGGCCCCGAGCCACCTTCAGGGGCAAATGTTTTCCAAGTCCACCTTCACGGGAAGAAGACTTCATCAGAGCTGGCTGAGAGTCCTCTGAGGTGTCCTTTCCCTGCTTGGTCCTGTACCCCGAGCCCCAGGGAGCTCCCCCAGCCCTCCCCAGGACTGGTATACTCCTTTCTGAAGAGGTGGGCTGTGGGTAAGGCCCTCTGGGCTCAGCTCCAGTGCCCAGAGAACCGAGAGGGTCCAGTTCTCCTGGGTTCATAGATGGGCCCATGGCTGGGAGTAGAGGTTGGAGGGTTCCTAGCTGCTGCTCTATACCCCTGTGGGAACACCCAGAACCCTAATTTGAGAAGAGAGAAGTCTTTCATGGCACAGTGTATTAATGGTGAATTAATAAACAGCAATAGTAATTATACTATAATAGTAATAACAATGGCTTATTAAGTGTCTCCCACTTGCCAGGTATCAGTTCTATGTGCCTCACATGTAGGTACCCACCAATCCTCCCATTTCTCTATGTAATTGGTGCTATTCTTGCCCCAGGGACTGAGGCTTGGAAAGGGTAAATAGAATGCCCAAGGCCTCATGGAGTTGGGACGGAACCCAGGTGCTTTGACCTTAGAGCCCAACCTCTCCACTTACCAGGGGTTTCAGTCTGAGTCAGACTGCCCCCTAGGGGGCATTTTGGCCATTTGCAAGAGAGCCTTAGGTATCAACAACTAAGAGGGCAAAACTCTTCCCGGCCTTTGGTGACAGCAACACACAGATTTCCAAAAGAATCATCCCACATCCTGCACAGCTTTAGAATGTACGACTGGAATCATGTCTACCTGGACAACTAGAGAAGTCAGTCCTACTTTATAATACTACTGAAACATTTTTAGAAGCTTTTGAGCTTTTAAAAGTAGTTTGTGAGGTAGGTATTTTAGTATGTGCCTATAATCCCAGTGGCTCAGAAGGCTGAGGCAGGAGAATCACAAGTTCAAAGCCAGCCTCAGCAACTTAGTGAGACCCTGTCTCAAAATAAAATACAGCCGAATACGGTGGTGCAGGCCTGTAATCCCAGTGGCTCAGGAGGATCTTGAGTTCAAAATCAGCCTCAGCAAAAGCGAGATGCTAAACAACTCAGTGAGACCCTGTCTCTAAATAAAATACAAAATACGGCTGGAGCTGGGGCTCAGTGGTCGAGTGCCCCTGGGTCCAATCCCTGGGACCATAAATAAATAGAACAAAAAGGGTTGGGATGTAGCTCAATGGTAGAACATCCCTGGGTTCAATTCCCAGTACCCTTCCACCAATAGTAGTTCATGAATGACTCAGGAAATTAGGGAAAAAGAGAAAAAAATAAATTAGGAGAAATAAAGAGTTCACCTTAAAATTATTAAATAATCTTCCCCATGCATTGGCCACACTTCAACTGTTATATGTTTGGTTGAACATTATTCCTGTGCAGTAGGGCGTTGCAGAACGGGCAGGGACTGGCTGAAATACTTAAGAGTGGAGAGAAAAAGTCACAGAATCAGAGGTACTTGAAATGTGGGAGATTTCACTGGATCTTCTTAATAAAAGTTTTTAGAAATTATTTCATATTCTCACCATCCTTTATACGGTGAAAGTTTCTGTTGCCTGAGGACAAACACCTATGTTGTAACAATCACATGCGGAAATGTCTGGGGGAGGAGTTGTCTGTTGTTTTCCTCTTTTCTCCGACACTGTCTCCAGGGTCTGAATGCAATTGCTCTAAGCTACCTTATCACCCTGCCCTTCCCGTCTGTCCTCTATTCCCGATCGTCCTTTGGAAATATATGATGGCCAAGGTCCTGGAGATTGAATTACACCTCTGCACGTGATGGCACTTCAAGACAGATGTGTGCATCTGTGATCATCTGTCAGGACCCAACTTAAGGTCACAGCACAGGAAGCTATTCTGACAACACACCGAGTAAGACTCCTCTGCACATGCCTTGTACTTCTCCCTCATCTCCACTTTGCCATCTCTGTCTTGCCTTGCTTTGCCACACCTACTTCACTTAAGGTGACCTCCCTTTTTCTCGTTACAGGCAGCACATTTGGTCTGTTATCACCCTCCTCACAGGGTAATAACATTTATATTCTAGTGTTTACAAACTACTGCTTCATTTTATGTGTGTGATTTTGTTTTGTTTTTGCATAGAATGGCTTGAATCTTCTATTTTTATTAATCAAACCCAAGACCTCTGGGCTGAGGTTGTGTGGCAGAGTGCTTGCCTCGCATGCGTGAGGCCCTGGGTTCGATCCTCAGCACCACATAAAAATAAATAGGTAAAATATTGTGTCCATCTACAACTAAAAAAATATTTAAAAAAAGAACTGAATGTTCTCTCTGATATATGGATAACACATAATAATAATAATAATAATAATAATATGGGGGAGGAATAGAAATTCATTGTATTAGACAAAGGGGAATGAATGGAAGGGGGGATGATAAGAAAGACCGTGGAATGAATAGGACATAACTTTCCTGTGTTCATATATGAATACACGACCAGTGTAACCCCACACCATGTACAACCTCAAGAATGGGATCCTCATTAGAATAAGTTATTCTCCGTGCATGTATGTCAAAATACATCTACCACTGAGCACCTCCACCCCTTCCGTTTCCTTTAAGTTCTAACTTATTTATTTATTATGTGTAGGTACAAGCAATGTGCCTATTTCATTTGTGTCTTCTGATAAGTCTTGCCTGAGCATTTATATAATAAGAGATATTATATTTCATTATAAGATATTATATTTCATTATATTATATTTCATTATCTGTATGTTCCATTTTTAAGTATAATTAGCTTTATTTTGGCTTTTAAATGATGTATGGAGATGAGTTTTATCACCCATGAACTTCATTTCTGGGTAAAGGGCACATTTCAAAGAAGATGTTGAGAACCGCTGCTCTAAATTGGGAGAAAGGATGTGAGGAACCTTCTGTGCCCTCCTTTCTCAGGCCCACGGAGCAGGAGTGGATGTACCCCTGTCTGCACAGCTGGTAAGCAGACTAGAACCAGGCTCCTGAATTAATGGCACAGTCCTACCCTAAGCCAAATGCAGGGCTTTGTCTTCCCTAGCTCAACCTCTCATTCCAAAGCTGAACACTGCTGGGGGAAAGGAGGTCACAGCCCTTGAGATCTGGCTGCCTTGTAGCACGTTTGTCCTGATTGACCCAGGTCTGGCCTTGCCATTGGGCCTGCAGCGTTTTACTCGGGTGCTTGTCGCCCCCTAGCGTCCCTCATGTGAATAGCACAAAACAACGTTCAAGATGAATTTCCTAGTTCCCAGAGACCTGCGGATTTCAATTCTTCCCACACCCTCCACCAAACCAGTCAGGGATCCCCTCAGGCCCCAGTTCTTCCATATACAATCCAAATTTCCTAAAGGAGATAAAGATGGGAATGCTGAATTCAGCCTCGGGGCATGGAGTGGAGGTAGAAAGAGTGAGGTGGGTGTTGTCTTCTCTGGAAGCCTGAGTCTTTAAGCAGCTGCTTGTCTGTAGGTGTGGGTGTGGGTGTGGGTGTGGGTGTGTGTGTGTGTGTGTGTAGTGGGCGGGTGGCGGGAGTTAATGATTCACCAGAGGCCTCTTTACAATTACCAAGGGTCAACTCTGTGAGCATGCACGAGCTCAGCCCTTTGGGCTCTGACCACTAGCCAGTGACCCAGAAGGCCCCCCAGGTGGACCGAAGCATGATCTCCATCAGCGAGTGGCAGAGTGAGTGCAGCGATCAGGGGGAGGGGGCGGGCTGGAATGGGGGTCTTGGCTAGGGTGGGCTGGAGAAGGGCCCCTCCAGGCCTGGCTCTGTCTGAGGAACTTACCAAATGTGACCTCTGGAGCCGGTGGCTGGGAGCCGCTGTGTTGGCACCCTGGGACCGCAGGTTCAAGGCAGGCGTGGCCCTCCTTGTACCTCGCGGGAGATTGGGGGGTGCTCAGGACCCATAAACCCTAAGGTCCCCTGTGGGCCTTGTCAGAAAATAAACCACCCACACCATTGTGTGGTCCCTCCCAAACACCCCTTCCTTGCCTTTGGGGGAGGGGGCAGGGAGATGGCCCATGAGAGGGACCAGGGAGTCCGCAGAGAGGGCGGGGCGGGGTGGAGGGGCAGGCTGTGGCCCAGTGGGTGTTGTGGGTGAGTTAGAGCCTCCTCAGCCTCGCTTTCACTGTGAAGCGATGAGGACACTCACTGAGCACATCTGTCTCTGCTGTGTGCCACCCACGGTGCTGGACAGACAGAAAAGAACTGAGAATGAGACAGACTTCCAGAGGGGAAAGGCAGTATATGTAGAGGGCAGTGAGTCTCCAGACAAATCCAGAACAGGGTAAGGAGGCTGGGGCGGTTTGAAGTAGGAAGAGTTGCTATATTATAGAGCGGTCAGGGAAGGCTGTGATGAGAAGGGAGCCTTCGTCCAGAGCTTTGTAGGGAGTGAGGAAGCAGCCACCTGGAAGGAAAATGTTCCAAGAGGAAGGGACAGCCAGTGCCAAGGCCCTGAGGCATGGTCGAACTCGATGTGTTTGAAGATCAACAAGGAGGTTGGTATGATTGCAGCAAAAGCATACAGGGGAGAGTTGAGGTCAGGGAGGTCACTTAAAGGCCAGACCAGGAGGACTTGCAGACCAGGGTAAAGATCTTGCTTCCATCTACATAAGATGGGAAAGCTTTGGAGGGGTGGTGCAGAGAAGTGATCTGATCCATTTATATTTCTAAAAGATGGCTCTGGGTGCCGGGCCGAGAATAGACTGCAGAGGATGAGAGAAGGTGGTGAGAGAAGGTGGAGGGGCCCGGGGAGTTGGCAATGAAGTGGTAGAAAGTGGTCCACGCTGGATCTGTTTTGAGAAATTTGCTGGTGGATTGATGTGGGGTGTGAGAGAAAGAAGGGTCGGGAGTGCATCCGGGTTTTTTACCTGGGCAGTTGGCAGGACTGAGCGGGAGAGAGAGCTGGAGGTGGGCTCCAGGTGCAAAGAGTTTCTTTGTGCTGTTAGACATCCAGATGAGATGTCGAGTGGGCAGTTGGGTGTGTGAGCCCGGAGCTCGAGAGGGAGAAATCTGGGAGTTGCCACCATCTAGACAGATACTGTTTAAAATCATAACAGTCCATGAGCTCAACTAGAGCACAATTTCCCAGCCTCCCCACTACTGACCCTTGGAGACAGGATCCTTTGTTGTGGGGCTGTCTCATGCACTGTGAGATTTTAGCAGTATCCTGGGCCTCTACCCTCCACTGCCATTAGCAAACCCTCCCTGCCCATGGCAGCAATCAGAATGGCCCCAAACACTGCCAGATGCTCTCCAGAGAACAAAATTGCCTCCCCGTAAATTTCTACCTTGCCCAGTTGAGAATCAACGACCTACAGAATAAACATACAGAGAGGAGTGCAGAGCCCACCCAGGGGCAGCGTGCCAATGTCCTAGTAAGCCAATTAGCCTATGAGTAAATGCGCCCTTACCAAATGCCACAAGTCCGAAGAAGAATGTATGAGCCCTATGAGAAGAAGGAGTGGGGGCACTAGATTCAGATCAAGGAACAAAGTGGACCAGGTTTCTCTGAGGAAATGACATGAGTTGAGACAGGAAGGGTGAGGAGGGTTGTTCTGGGCAAGGAAACCACACGTACAAAGGCTCTGGGGCAGAAGCTCATCCAGGAAACAGCAAAGAGCAGGGGGAAGGCGGAGGAGCAGGGCCTGCAGGCCACAGTATGGATGAACCGTGTCTTCATTCTAAGCTGTGCCTTAATGTGACTGGATGGTATGTTCCAGCATCCTTGAGCATAGTATGGAGAAGGACCAGGAGTGTGGCGGGAATGAAGCAGGAGACTAAACAAGGGCTACTGCAAGAGTCCAGGAAGAGATGAGGGAGGCTGGGAGTTAAGGGGTGGAGAGAAGAGGGCAGCTTCCAGGGTACGTACTGGAGGACACAGCTAAGAAACTTAGCTGTGGCTGGGTGCGGTGGCACATGCCTGCAATCCCAGCGGTTCAGGAGGCTGAGGCAGGAGGATCCCAAGTTCAAAGCCAGTCTCAGCAATAGCAAGGTGCTAAGCAACTCAGTGAGACCCTGTCTCTAAATAAAATTCAAAATAGGACTGGGGATGGGGCTCAGTGGTGGAGTGCCCCTGAGTTTAATCCCTGGTACCCAAAACACAAAAATAAAAAACCAAAACACCCCCCAAAACTTAGCTGGGCTTGAGCAGGGAAGGGTGGTGTGCACGGCCAGGGTGGCTCTCGGGCTCTGCCTCTAGGGCTGGCTGGGCGGTAGAGACCCTTGTACACTTTTGTGAAAACCCAGGGGAGGTGCAAGCTGAAGGAGGAAAGATGAATCGCTCAGTGTGGGACCAGGGGTTCAGACTGCCTGAGAGAAGGCCATGTCCATGTGCCTGGCCAGCAGCAGAATGTGCCCAGGGCTTGAAGGGGGCTTGGGCTAGAAGGATGTGTCATCAGCACACAAGTGGTGTCTAAAGACACAGGAAGCTGTGTGGAAACAGAACGGGAAGAGAAGGGAGCTCGGGCCCAAGCCCTGGGCAAGTCAGATCCCAAGAGGGAGGGAGAAGTGGGAACCGCAGAGGAGACAGAAAGAAGGGTTAGACGTCAGGAGGAAAATCACAACGTGGCGTCAGGGAAGCCAAGAGAAAGGATGCTTCAACCCGTGAGTGGCCACCCCCTCGCCGCCAAGGACGGACCCGTCCATTGGATTTGGGGACATGGAGGTCATTCATGGCCAAAGCAAGAGCAATTCCTGCAGAAGGGGACTGGACCACGTTAGTCAAGGACACTTTTCAGAGCCAGACACCTGGATTCGAAGGCGGGTTCTGCCAGCTGCTGGCTGTGCACCCCAGGCAAGTGGGGTAGCCTCTCAGTTTTAGTTTTGTTTGTGAATAGGGACTCACAGCAGCACCTACCTCATAAGTGACTGCGGAAATAAGTGAGTTAAGTGTCCAAAGTGCTTAGACTGAGCAGGCGCAGAGGAAGCTTTGCTGTCAATCACTTCTGTTAACTGTGAGAATGAATGAAGCCTGCTCTCCTTTCCCTTCTCTCCTTTGCTTCCAGAACAATTCAATCTTAAAACCCCTCAATGGAACACAAAGAGAGGGTCCCCAGAGTTGGGGTGTCCAAGCCCCAGTGAGAAGAGGGCTCACTGGGGTGGCCTTGCGAGGAGTCACAGCCAAGGCATGGTGGGGAGGGCATCCCGCAAGGTGGGTGAGGGTGGAGAGTGTCTTCATGGTGCAGAGGCCGGCAGACACTGCCTTACGATTAAGGACCCACCTTCAGTAGTGGGTCAGGTTGGAAGCATGTGTCACCTAGGAGGAACACAGCTTCACATCCAGGCTGTTTCTGCCAAAACCTAGTCACCAGGAAGAATCCGATGAACCTATATGTAGAAATGGCTACAAAATAGTTTGCCTGCATCTTCAAAAGCTCACATCAAGGAAAAACTGAGAAACTGTTCCCAACATGAGACTAAAGGGAGATGACAACCAAATGCCCCATGTGATGGGAACATTCATTTCCTGGAAGTAATATTCTTGGGACCACTTGAGTGGGGTCTGAGGACTTGTTCATTTCCCAGTTTCCCGGCAGTACCTTGGCTATCCAGGAGAATGAAGGGAAACTTCACCAAAGCATTCGGGAACAGACGAGATCCAGGTGACAACTGCTCTCCAATGTGTTAGGAAAATAATGTTTTTTATAATGCACATGCAACTTTTCTGTACATTTTGTGATTATTAAAAAGAGGAAAAGAGAAAAGGTAAAGGGCTCCTGGCTGAGGCTTGGACCTGAGGGACCCATGGACCCTCGGCAGGATATTACTTTCCTGGGAGCGATCGCTGCTTTCCGGAGGAAGACAGACATTGAACCTGGCTTCTGCTAATGCAAGCTACGAAGTGGGGCTCTGGCTGCAGGCTGCAGGCTCTCCTTGGCAGTCGGTTGGGAGCTGGGGAGCAGGGGTCTAATCAACAGGTAGACTAAAGCTGGCCAGCCTCCCAAGTGTGGGGAGGCGGCCCAGAAGACAGCTTAGCCTCTGCACTTTCTGCTCCCTATATGACTACCCGGGTCCCTCCAGAAGGGGGCGGGCTTCCCCCACTGTCGGACCATGGGACTGTAGATTGCTGCTCCTGTCTGTCCCGGGAGCATCTGTGTGCCATGCCTGCCCCACCCACTGCTCTCTCTGCCATAGTTACTGCCCTGAGAGGAACTTCAGGAGCACCCCCCAGCTAAAATCGCCAAGTTACTCCAGAGGCAAGAGTTGGGAGGAAGGTCTGAAGCTCGACCTTTTCCTCACTGAGTTTTGGGCTCACTGAACACTGGAAACGGTAGTGGCCCTCAAAGGGGACTGGTCCCATGAAGGAAAATTCCGGAATTGCACCAGCGCTTGAAGAATAGTGTGGAACAAGTTGGGAGAGTGATAAGTAAGCAAGCCACTGTTGCAAAGAAGAAAGTATAATACAGAGAAGACGACATAGAATGTGGATTTTTTTGAACAACTGATAAAAAATTTATTATTAAAGTAGCTGACTTAGACATTTGTCATGGTGACTTCAACCTCCACATCTGGCCTGGTACCCAGGGGAATAATCTGCTCACCAGTCTCACAAAGGACTGTGTGAGTCAGGGAGCCGTTTGCAGAGTCCCATCTGCATTCTCGTGTGCATGCATCCTAGATTCTCGTGAGTCTTAGAACCTCCACCACCAGGAGTCTTTCTCAGAGTGACTCTCAGAATCTGGGTAGGAATCTGAGATGGTCACATCAGTGCACATCTTCACCAGAGGTTTCTCTTGTGACTGGCTCGAGTAATTGTAATTGAGTGAATCTGCCACCTTTGATTTCCACAGGTGTCTTTCTAGAATGTTTAAAAGCTGTGGTCAGGCTGGGCGTGATGGTGCATTCCTGTAATCCCAGGCACTGGGGAGGCCAAGTCAGGAGGAGCACAATCCAAAGCCAGCCTCAGCAACTTAGTGAAGCCCTGAGCAAATTAGGAAGACTCTGTCTCCAAATAAAAAGGACTGGGGATGCGGCTCAGTGGTCAAGCACCCCTGGGTTCAATCCTCAGTGCCAAAAACAAAAACAAACCAAAAAAAATTGGCAATAGATTTTAAAGGATTAACTCAAGAAAGATGATTGTGTTGTTTTCTTTCAGTTGTAACTATAATTTAGCCAGTAAATCCAGTCTTATTTTGTTTTTGCAGTCCTGTCTCTAAACAAACAGAATAATAATTCTCACTTAACAGCTGTATGTAAAATGGTAATGCTACCAGTTTCATAGAGGTTGTGGGGACCAACTCTAAGCTGTTAGTTAACAAGTCCAGGGACATGTTCTACAGGGGTATCAAGACCATTCAATGGGGGAAGGAACAGTCTTCAACAAATGCTTCAGGGAAAACTGGATATCCACATACAAAAGAACACAGTTGGGCCCTTATCTTATACCATATGCAAAAATTAATTCAAAATGGATCAAAGACCTAAACATGAGAGCCACAACTACAAAATTCTTAGAAGAAAGCATAAGGGAAAGCTTTGTGACACAGGCTTTGGCAATGATTTCTTGGATGTGACATCAAAAGCACAGACAACAAAAGAAAAAAAATAAAGATCAATCCAACTACATTGAAACGAGAACTTCTGTGAATCAAAGATACAATCAACAGAGTGAAAAGGCAACTTAAAGAAAGAGAGAAAATATTTGTATATGGTATGCATGACGGGGGGTCAATATCCAGAGTATATAAAGAACTCCTGTAAAACCCAACTAGAACAACCTGATTAAAAAACAAGCAAAGGACCTGAATAGACCCTTCTCCAAGGAAGATATACAAATGGCCAGTGAGTCCATGCAAAGATGCTCCACATGGCCAAACAGGAGGAAAATGCAAATCAAAGCCACAATGTGAGGTCACCTCATATCCATTAGCATGGCTGCTACCAATAAAAAACTAAAACTAAACAAAAAAAAAAAAAAAAAGAAAGAAAAGAAAACAGGAAATGAAGTGTTGGTGAGGATGTGGAGAAACTGGAACCCTTGTGCACTGCTGATGGGAATGTCAAACAGTGCACCCACTTTTGGAAAATAACATGGCAGTTTTTTTAAAAAAATGATACAGCAATTCTACTTGTGGGTAATATTGCTGGGGAAAAAAGCAGGGTCTTGAAGAGTTTTTTTTAAATTTTTTTTTCAAAAGTCCCTATTGGACTCTTTTTTTTTTTTTAAGAGAGAGAGAGAGAGAGAGAGAATTTTTTAACATTTATTTTTTTAGTTTTCGGCGGACACAACATCTTTGTTTGTATGTGGTGCTGAGGATCGAACCCGGGCCGCACGCATGCCAGGCGAGCGCGCTACCGCTTGAGCCACAGCAGTTATTTTTTATGCTTGTATTTGTAGCAGCATGATTCACTAAGGCCAAAAGATGGAAATAACCCAGATGTTCATCAACAGATGAATGGATCAATAAAATGTGGTATTTTCACACATGGAATATTATTCAGCCTTAAAAAGGAAGGAAATTCTGACACATGGCACAACAGGAAGGAGGCTTGAGAATATTATAATAAATGCAATAACTAGTCCCAAGAGGACAAATGTTGAATGAGTCCACCTCGCTGAGGTTGCTAAGGCAGTCAAATTCATAGAGACACCAGCAGCTCAGGAGACTGAGGCAGGAGGCTCACGAGTTCAAATCCAGCCTCAGCAACTTAGCAAGACCCTGTCTCTAAAGAAAATAGAAAAAAATGGGGGGCTGGGGATGTGGCTCAGTAGTTAAGTGTCCCTGGGTTCAATCCCTGGTACAGAGAGAGAGAGAGAGAGAGAGAGAGAGAGAGAGAGAGATTCATAGAGACCAAGTAGAACTGTAGTTGGAAGTGAGGAAGAATAGGGAGTTGGTAGATTTAATGAGTACAGATTCAGTTTTGCAAGATAAAGAGTCCCGGAGGTGGATGGTGGCGATGGGGTACCTCTATACCACAGAACTGTGCACCAAAAAATGGTTAAGATGGTAGATTTTACATTACATGTGCTTTCCCACAATTTAGAATTTAAACTTTTAATTTAATTTTAAAAACGAAACAACACAGCGAATGGTCACTTGTTGACTATCATAGTGGCAAAGATGAGCACAATTTTGTGTGATGGAGACAGTTTAAGGCAAAGGAACCCGAGATCCTGTGACTGGCACATCTCTTCTGGAAGGGAGTTGATCTAAAATCTGTGTCAATGTCCAGAGCGACCAAACAGGGTGCCTGCTCTCTGGCTCTGAGCAGACTCCTGAGCTTCAGAGGCGGCCCGGAGGCACACTGCCAACAGGTGGGCGTGGGGGTGGGGGACCCTGCTGGCCAGAGCTGCTCCACTGCACTAGACTGAAATCCAAGGTGGGCTCGCCCGGTGCTACTGAGGCAGCCAGAGGAGAAGCAAAGCAGGGGCCTGAGCGTAGGTTCCCAGGTAGGAAAATCAGCACATTCCTGGCTGATGACTTCCGTTTTCCCAGCTGGGTGAGAGGCCAACACTTGAGAGCAGGGTCTGGGGTGTTTTGAGGAGAAAGGAGACTATGTGTTGTTGGGAGAGATGGTGTCAGCCTCTTGAGAAACCCAGCCGGACAGTTTGGAGGCTCTGGGGCTGGTGGTCATGCGCTTACTGTGGCACACTCCTGCCCCCTAGGGGTGGCTCCAGGTCTTGGCTGCTTGGGCCCAGAAACAGTAGGCAGATGTTTGTGTTCAGCCAGGGACCTGATCCTGAAAATGATCTGCTTATGTTAGCACCGGAGGACAGAGGAAGCTGAAACTTCAAAGTAGTGCAGGTGGCACGGGCTTCCTCATGACCATGGTGTGAGGAGGTGACTGGCACAGTTCCCATGAAACACACTTCATGCCCATCTTCCTTCCCCTGCCCACCCTTCCCTCCCCAGACCCCACCGAAGCTGAGATCCCTGGGTGGAAATGGAGCCGCCCCTAGCGGGCACCTGTTCTGTGGTGATGGGAAAGTGTCAGGGTCTCACCTGATCCCCAAAGTCCAATCCTCCACCACCTCCTTGCCCATTGCAGAGCTTGGCGTGGGCATCACCGGCTTCGGCATCTTCTTCATCCTCTTTGGAATACTCCTGTACTTTGATTCGGTGCTCCTGGCTTTTGGAAACGTGAGTCCCCCGGTCCTCTGTACCTCTCCTTCCCCAACCCCCTGAGGTCTCTGTCATCAGGAGGGTCAACCCTAAGTTCGTTCATGTCACGCCCCATACAGGGTTCAGATATCATCCAACTGGGACAGATGAGGGTCCCTGGGGATGGATAGCAGGGCTGGCCAGGCCCAGAGAAACTGAGGACCTGAATTCTTATGCCAAGCTCTGGGTGAGGTCTTAGGGGTTCTACAATGAACCCCAGCATCTAGGAATAGGGATTATAATGTGTACCTTCGTGGCTGGGGAGGACAGCCATGGCAGAGGAGAAGCCACACGAAGATGAACATATTTACTGTGAAACAAGAGGCTTGCAGAAAGAGGAAGAGGAAGGGACTTGGGAGAGGAAATGCGTGTGGGGGTGGATGAACAGCAAGAGAAAAGGTGGTGAAAGGGGAGGGAAGGCACAGAATATACTAGAAGAAAGCCAGAGGGTTAAATCTGATGGGCCCTCAGCACCCACAAGGGACAGTGTCTGGACCTGGCATATATTTTGTAAACACTGGACTCCAGAAGGTTCCAGGTGACTTTGGGTAGGATTCCCTAACCTAATTAGGACTGGGTCTTCAAAGCTCTATAAAGAGGATCCCACTAAGCATCCCATCTTCCCTGGGAGGCACAGTGAGAAGTGAAGTCACATACGAGGAGGTATTTGGCACCCAAGGACGTGGCTGGGAACTGGAGATCTCCAGGGTCCTCCTTGTCCATCCCCTGCTTCTCTGGGCAGGTCTATTCCTAACTGGCTGGAGTACTCCAGGGTCTGGGATTCTGCCACACCGCTGCCACATGGTCCCGCCCTGCCTGAGTGGCTCCACGTCCCAGCCCCCGAATCCTCCTGGGCCACGTGCTTGTCCTCAGGCTCCTCCCTCTTCCTGCCCCACAGCTGCTGTTCCTGAGTGGCCTCTCCTTCATCATCGGGCTGAGGAGGACGTTTTCCTTCTTCTTCCAGCGGCACAAGCTCAAGGGGACCAGCTTCTTCCTGGGGGGTGTGGTCATTGTGCTCCTGCGCTGGCCCCTGCTGGGCATGTTCCTGGAATCCTATGGCTTCTTTAGCCTCTTCAAGTGAGTGCAGATCCTCGTCACCCACCCTCCGCAAGCTGAGGCCCAATGCACAGTGGCTGTCAGAAGTCAAATCTCCAATCTCCTCCCCCAGCCAGACTCACTGCCCTGGGAAGGGTCACACGTAGTAAATTGTAAATCCCAGATCAGGCCTGGGACACCAAGGGTAAAGGTGGCACTGTGCAGGGGGATGTAGAGGCCCAAGGCAGTGGCAATGGGAGCACGGCCTCCAGTGACTCAGTGCCCAGGTGCCAGCAAACCTGGAGCAGGTGCCCCACACCCGATCCAGGGAGGAGGGAAAGGCATCAGGCCAGAGTAATAATAAGGAGAGTAATAACATAAATAGCACTTTGTACACAGTTCTAACCCCATGTGACAGATGGAAACAGGTTCAGAGAGGCGAAGGAGTTGCCCAAGTGTAGGCAGAAGGGCCAAGATTTGAACACGAGGAGTCTAGCCCCAGGGACCTCGTTCTTAACACTTTGCTCTCTCAAAAAAGGGGGTGCTGAATGAACCAAGCCTGCCCCCAGGGCCCAGGGGCCTGCTCTCCTGGGAGCCAGAGCTAGAGCCTTCCTAGTGGGTGGACCTCAGCCTCACTACCTCCCCGCCCCCCTCCTGGGCCATTACTGGCCCCCCCCCCCCCCCACTTCTAGGGGCTTTTTCCCCATGGCGTTTGGCTTTCTGGGAACCACCTTCGACATCCCCTTCCTGAGTGCGGTAAGTGGATTGCCCCTGGGGCTTGGCACACCAAGCTGGTGGAGTTGGTCAAATCATGGCCCCAGGTGCAGCGGATTCGCCCCCATCAGACCCCACCCCGGGTTCTCCAGTCTCCAGTCCTTGTCCCCTCCCTCCCGCTCCCTCTCCATTTGACAAAAGTGAAGGAGGCGACAGCTATCAGCCACTCCCCACTTAACAGAAGAAATACAGACTCAGACAGTCTAGCTTAGCCTGGCACTTCTGCGGAGCTGATTAGGTCAGGGCCCAGACATGGAGAAGCTATGTCACAGCCAGTGAGAGCAGGTGGCGGATCCCGTCCCGGTCCCCAGCCCCTGCACCACCGCCCCTATCTCTCATGAACCCCTGAGAGGTCCAGGGAAGCCCCACGGCCAGCACCCTGGACGCATCCCCCGCAGCCCTTCCCCTGCTCTGTGCGTGACACTGCTCCCGGCCCCCAAGGCCAGCTCTGTAATAGGCTGCATATGGAGTCTGCTGCCCACTCTTTGTCTGGAGTAATGATTCTTGGCTCCCACAGCTGTTCCGGAGGCTTCAAGGGACCAGCTCAATGGTCTGAACCACAGAGATGAGCTCTTTGCAATTGGATCGCTCATTGAGGGGGCTGGAAGGGAGATGGGGGCTGCCTCTCAGGCCCCCACCCAGCACTGACTCACTCCCTGTCATACGGGGCCTCTTCACATCCACAAGGAAGGACGGAACTGAGTGACTGACCTCAATCCCCAAGCAGACTCAAGAGGCTGCCAGACTCTTGGGAGCAGAGATCTCGGCCCCATGGAGACTGGACTGGGGCTGGCATCCCAGCCTCACCCTGTATTTAAAAGTGAAGATTAAATCCTCTAGCTCTGAGTGAGTCTGAGATTCAGAGTGCGTGTGTCCAGCCCTGTCAGTCCATCCTGGGTTCTTGGGGGCTGGCAGGGGTCGGGGGTCGGGGCTGAAACCACACACACACCCCATTCCTCGTAGGGCGGATTCGGCTTCAGTGGGTCAGGTCTGCTCTGCTCACTCTAATTTCCATCCTGGTGTTTAATAATCCTAATGAGTCAAATAGCATGTTTATAAGTTCCTGCCAGCAGTAAGCCTCGACAAGCCATGGGTACTAATCCTGGGTGCTGTCAGAAAGTGCTTCTCCACCGTGACCTGACTGCTCTGCACAGCACACCTACCAGGTAAAGCTTGTGCTCGGACAGCTTCCTGTCTGAGGGCAGAGACATGCACACCAGCCCCAGCCTTCAGAGGGCCCAGTCTGACAAAGGAACAGTCCCTGTCCTGGGAGGCCCTTTGTCCAAGGTAAAGAGAGTTCTTGCAGCCTCCGGAAAAAGAAAAGGGTCCCTTGGAAAGTATGAATTTTTATCTATTAAGGGTCCCCGCAGTATGTAAGTGTCATAAGCAATTACAAAAATGTCGCGACGGTGGGTGCCACCGGAGGAGAGGCAGGGTCTCTGTGGGTGTGGTGCAGTCTGGAAGTCCCTTCTCTGCCTCCCCTACCATTTCCCAGGTTCGTCCACCATCTAGGCCACCATTTTATTGGCCTTTCTTATAGCCAGCTGCCGACTTCACTGCCTCCCCTGTCTGACCGTGCTGAGCACTGGGCACAGTAATTGAGGGGAGGAAGGTAAGAAGAAAAAGAACCCCACTCTCCAGGTGCAGAGAGTAGCCTCTGGCGGGGCCCAAGCTGACCTGGCCTCCTGAGACCTGGCAGCATGTGGGCAGCGGGCAGCTCCTGGGTCAGGCTGCGCCCTCCCCTCCTCCTCCTCCTGCGCTGCATTCACTTCAGACTGGGTGTGTCTGTGGCTCTCGTGGGAGAGGGAACAAGACATTTCACATGCACACACTCACACTCCTCCAACAGTCCTCTCCTCATTGTTTGGGACGGAATGGGTCCCCAGCTGAGGGGGCCAGGGCAGGAAGAGGTGGAGGACAAAAAGAACTAGTGAGAATTAGAGTCCAACCTTGGAGGGCTTCTGTGGGGGCGGAAGAGGCTGACTCCAGGCCTGAGAGCCCAGGGGGAGGCCGCCAGCAGGGAGCTGAGCTCTCTGAAGAGGGTCTGGGGAGGGGGTGAGGGAGGCAGAGGTGGGCTGAAGACGTCACCTGGGCTTTATAAAAGGGGGACCGACTGAGGAGCTGGTGAGAGGCAGCTAAGGAGCCCAGCTCCCCTCCCGCCGGTGCTCGCCCACCCAGGAAGCCTCCTCTCGTCTCCTCTCCTCTCCTCTCCTCAGAGATCCAGTGGATCTCGCCTGGGCCAGGAAGAGCCAAGGTAGGTGCCCTGTGCGTCACACTAGGGGAGGCTTTGGAGCGGGCAGGGGGTTAGTTCCCAGACGGTAGGACAGGGGCTGGTGTGTGTGTCTCTGCCCTCAGACAGGTAGATGAAAAGATGGGGAACACTGATCTTTCCCGATGGCTAACTTGGCCAGACTACTCTGAAATGCCTGGGTGAATACATTGACTTGTAGTTTGTTCCTGAAGCCAGGACCCTGGGGATCCCAAGAGTTCTTTCTTGCTGCACATGAGATATAATGAAGAAACCATCTGTGGCTGGGATTTGAGGTTGCAGAAGCTTCTAGAGGGAGCTGGGGGAACCCTTTAGGGCTCATGGGCTCAATGGGGCTCCTCAGAGCAGTTCCCCCCAATACAAACTGGTATATATATATGTGTGAGGTGTTCGTGATATGTGGGTTTGTGTATGTGGTGTGGGACGTGTGTGTATGGTGTGTGGGGAGCATATGTGATGTGTGTGGTACGTGTGTGTATGTGATGAATAGCATACACATACCGTGGTATGGGGGAGAGTGGAATATACATAGGTGTGCATATGTAGGGTAGTGCTGTGTGTATGTTTGTGTGGTGTGCGTGTCTGTGAGTGTTGGTGTGGGCAGAGTTCCTCCATGGTGCACATGGTAAATGCTGTCCACAATGAATGGGGTTAACTCCAGTGGGAGGGGACAAAGCAGGTCACCACCCTCCAACCACCCAGCCTGTCCACCTGCCCTCCGTCACTCACCATCCTGCTTCTGCACAGTGGCCAGTTGTTCCATCTGCAGCGCACATCAGCACACACTCCTGCCTGACTCCGACCCTCCAGAATGAAGCCTTCAGGGTTCCTTCTCCCCAGGAGCTCTTCCTCTTGTCCTCCCGGAGAACCCACAGTGTGCTGCGCACCCAGACCCACCTATCACTCCGGTGCCCCCAGCACCATCGCCCCGGCAGCGCCCTGCAGGGATTGCCTTCTGCAGACCTCCTTTCTTCTGGTTGACTAGGCACCATCCTTAAAGCCTGTCTGGACCCTCCAAGTTAGGCTTCCCCAGCTCCCGTAGACCCCGGGTACTCACATGCGCCCAGCGTGTCATTCACAGTGTTATCTTGAAATGATCTGCTCAGGAGTCAATTTCCCGTGCTGGACTTGAGATCTTGGGGGCAGGCGGCAACCCTGCGTCAGCCCGTCTGTGCAACTCCAGCACCTAGCACAGCACCAGCTCCTCAGTGGTGCTCAAGGAAGCCTTCCAAACCAACCAGGACCCTGCATGTCCAAGGTCTGACCCGCTTCTACAGCATTCTCTCTAGTGGGTTAAACCTGCTTCTATTCCACATCCCACCCCAGGCCTTAAGGCAGGCGCAGAAAGCTCCAGTCTGAGTTTCAAGGTGTCACAGAATCAAAGCCTGCAAGGACAAATAACCATCTATGTGGGCAGCTGTGAGCAGTCTGACCAAATGCTCCCATTTTACAGACTGACTGATGAGGCCTGGTAGGGGGTGACTTGCTCAGGGTTTGTGAAGCAAGGGCAGAGCTGAGGCCAGGTTGGAGTAGTGTTCCCATGGCAGGATTCTTACCCTGCACACCATGCCTGAGTCCTGCATCAGGGAGGAGACAGGAAGTGGCAATTGCAAGGGAGGCATGAGCTGGGTAGACATTAGGAGATGATGATCACAAATGATCCCCTGCCTCCCCCATGGACAGAGGCACTAGTCTTTAGGTCTGTGCACAGTGCCCCCTGCCTCCTCAGAAGTTTGTCTTTAATCCTGTTTATTGAATACTATCAAAGTGCCTGATGACTTTTTCAAAGAGGAACCGGACTTGGGGCTGGAGTAGTGGGGCGGGGGGCAGCAGGCAGAGCAAGATGGCGGGGGAGGGAAGAGGGGTGGAGGAGGGTCAGGATGCACATCTCCCTTCTCAGCAGCCAAAATGATGAGGCCAATTCAATCCATATCCTCTCAGAGCCCACAGAGAATAGACTGTGGAGACAATTGACCTGATAAATCAGAGGAAGGCTTTTCTCATCCCTGAATTATAGGCAATAAGAATTTAATGATGGTCTTTCAGACTGTGAAGGGCTCTGAGAGAGAGCAAGATGACTCCCCCTTCTCTCGCCTCTTCCTTCCTTTTTTCCTAGAAATGATAAAGAAGTGGGTTTCTATTAAAGCAGGACGGAACAGGGCCAGGCTCAAGAAGACACATGCTAAGGGGAGAGTGGAACTCAGGCGGGGCTGGATTTGTGCAGAGCCGACATGCTCCAGGTTCCAGAGAGAATGCTTTAAAGACTTTGCCCCACTTCCTTTCCCTGCCAGCTCCCACGCTGCGTCTCTCCCCTCCCCTCTCCAGCATTCCTCTCCAGCAAACCTGACCTTCAGAATCCTAGCCATTCTCCAACCCGAGAAATCCTGCCCCTTCCACCAAACGGAATCCTTCCTTCCTCCCTACCCATCCTCCTCCAGGAAGCGCCCCCTCTGCTCCCAGCACTAGCCCAGATTCTGCACCTGACCTAGTCCTGTTCCCTCTCTCTGTCTCAGCCTCAGCGCGCTTCCAGGACCTGCCTCTTCTCATCAGGATGAAGGCACTGATTTCTTGGCCACTACTGCTTTTCCTCTGTGCCACCTCCTTCGGGGACCCACTGGCAAAGGTGGCACCTGTGGATGATCCTAGACCCATAGGTATGCATCGTCTGGGGAAAGGCAGGCCATTGAGAAATTAGGTTGGCTGTATTTTTCAGTTTTAGCCAGTCGACCGATAGGAGTTTAACACTGCATTTGATGGACCTCTAAGATTGCCACGTGTGCATTGCATAGAGAAGAGGGAGAGTTTATCACCGTAACCGGCATCAGGAGCCTCACCTAGGCTCAGGTGCTCATTAGATACCAAGATCCTTCACGGTTTTCTCAAAGTGTTCTCTGCTTACACAGACTACTTCTCTGGGTGGATGTTAGGAAAGAACTTAATATTCAAGCTTCTCTTATCAGTGAATCCAGATCCTTTATAAGGGGATTTGAAAAAAAGAGTCTAAACACAAGACAGACCCTTAATACCTGTCAATCTCGTGAGTTCACCAGGGAACTGATGAGTTGGGGAAACTGAGGCCCGAAGAGGGAAGAGACTTCCCCACCTGCAGAAGCACTAGGTGCCAGCACACCCCAAGAGCGTGTCTGCTAAGTGGCGTGAGCTGTCACGGTGCTAGTCCCCAAGGCAGGTACATGAGATTGAACACTTCTTGGTTGTCAGTTTTCTGGGCAAACTTGCCACTTAGCCTCTCCGGTTCCCAGCTATGGAACTTGGGGCAGACTGCACATTTGATATCATAACCCCACCACTGCCTACGGAGAATGGGCTTTGGCTGTTTCTGGCAGAGGGCTTTAGGGGAGGCCACACACATAGTGGCCCGAGCAGTGGTCCTCCTGCTGGCTTAGAGGCTATAACTGAGATCCCCTCTCCCATCTTTGTCTGACCCTCAGCAAGGAGGGAGGGACCTCCTAGACAGATGATTATTAACTCTGGACCATGTCCAGACTCCTCCAAAGTGTGCCAGGGCATTGAGGAGCCAGGCACAAAGCCAACCCCCACCCCAACACACACTCGCTCGCAGAGGAGGCCTCCTTTCCACTAATCTCTTAGCACAATTGGCTGACTTATTGTCTATTCAGAGCTGGCTGCCCTATTTTACTGCCAAAAAGTATAGTGAACTTAATGAGCCTTGCATGTGAAGTGCCCTCCAAATGAGCCTTTTTAACCCTCAGTGTGAAGGGGAGAAATGACTGCTGGGTGAGGGAGGTGAGCCAGTTAAGGTGACCTAGGTCATTTCTGGCCTTCATCGGTCCTGATATAGCTTAATAGAGGGTCACAAATACTTTTATCAGAGATCAGGGTTGGATCACAGGTGTGTGGAGGCACAATGGCCTTGGTTTCACTTTCTTAATTTGTTACAAGTTTTTCATTAGAAAACTAAATAAAGCACAAAATAGGGCTGAGGAATGGGAATTGAACTCAAGGGCACTCGTCCACTGAGCCACATTCCCCAGCCCTATTTTGAATTTATTTAGAGACAGGGTCTCACTGAGTTGCTTAGCACCTTGCTATTGCTGAGGCTGGCTTTGAACTGGTGATCCTCCCGCCTCAGCCTTCGGAGCAGCTAGGATTACAGGCATGTGCCCAGCAGCTTTTATATATTTTATATATTTAACAAGGATCTATTGAGAACCTATTATGTGTGAGGCACTGTTTTGAGCATTTGCAGAAGGTGGGGGGATAGGTGGATGAACTTGGCTGCCACCCACCCCAAGGAGTCCCAGTCCAATGGGGAGCCAGATATGGAAACAACCCAGATGTCAGGCAGAGCCAGAAGAGGGGCAGAGCTGAATGTCCCCCAGATACTTTGGTTTTCTTAATTTCCAAACGCAACCCAGTTTACTTCCTAAAAGAAAGTAAATTCATACAAAAGTTATTTAAGATAATCTAGGAAACACTGGAAATCAAAGCCATGTTGAAGGAGAGATGGGCAAATGGTCTAACCACCCTAGCTAAGAGATTGGTGTGCGGTTCTGCGCTGTGATTACCACTGAGCTTCCTGGCGGTCAAGGGACCAAAAGTAAGCATGGGATGGAGATTTTAAGGGGACGTTCCAAAGCCATATTTCCTGGCCCCTGGCCTTACCTCCCTGTCTTCTCTGTACCCTGTACTATCTGTCCTAGGCCAGAGACTGGGACCTCTGAGGGCCCTGGACCCCTGGGAGCAGGACCTGCGGTGCACGGAGAGAAAGCCTGTCCCAGCCGGGCCGAGCCCTCGGGGGGCCTCGCTGTGTCCCCCTGGCGAGAGCTCTGCGGGGCCCCAGGTGATGGGTCCATGCTCCCCGCGCAGTCGCCTGATCCCCGCGCCCCGGGGCGCGGTGCTGGTGCAGCGGGAGAAGGACCTGTCCTCCTACAACTGGAACTCTTTCGGTCTGCGCTATGGCAAGCGGCAGACAGCGCCTGGAAGCCGCCGGGGAGGCGCTGAACCTGGCCCAGGGCGCAGGTGCGGGCAGTGAACTTCAAACCCCGACTGGAGGCCGAGCATGCAGAGGGTGGGGGTGGGGGTGGGGTGCGCTAGTCAAAGCGGAGGGGGGAGGGGGGACTTGAGCTTCTGCTTGAGGCAATAAAAGTAATGCTGCCAACTCAGGAGCTGTGATTAGCCACTGATTTGTGCAGGCAGCGCTGATGAGGTCGTTCTCCTTAATAGCATCTTGGGCTGGTTTTAAGATGTCTCTGGTGTCGTCAAGGTCAGTGCTTCTCAAACTAGATGTGATGAAATACCAGTTTGCTGGTTCCCCGGTCCTTTTCAGACAACACATATAAATAAATAAATAAATAGAACCACTGGGAACCTGAACAATTTTTAAACAACTAAAGAGAAGCCCAAATTGAATGCTGCTTGCATGTTTCAGCAATATCCAATTTCTACCCAGCGTTCTAAAGCCATTCTCGTAATTCCTAGGCTCACCCCTCTGCAGATGGGTAGCACTGGGTAGCATTTTGCAGAGGGACATGGGCCAAGAACCATACACTGAGTAGGAGCCGTAGACCAGTTAAGTACCTTTCTCTTTTTCCTCAGCCAGTTGGACAGCTTGATCTGGAAAATAGTGCCAACCACTACCTGTTCCCCAAGGGTTAAATATCACTTGAGCCCCACAGTCAGGCCTCTGAGGGGGTGCTTGGCCACACAAGGAGCACCAACAGTGGACACAGCCATCCACCTTCCCCCAGGAAAGCCAGACTGGATCCCATGTTACACTGTCACTTCTCTTCATCCTCATAAACCACCCAGGGAGAGAGGCATGTATTAGTTCATCCTTACATGCAGAACCCTAAAATCCATAAAAATAAGTCACACACTCAAGGCACACAGCGAGCAAGTGGCAAGCCTAATAGCTGTCCTGACACCAGACTCTGCTGTGCCTCTCTGAGATGGTGATCCAGATCAAGAAATGGTATTCAACCCCCTGGGACATCCTGGGGGCCCAGTAGCTAGGGAGGAGAAATTTCAGTAGGAAAGAGTAGACCTTTTGTCATTAGGAAAGAGTAGACCTTGTCATTAGGAAAACCCCAGGAAATCTGCCCTCACACCCACAAGACAGCTCCTAGGGTCCCCCTATCCTGCTTGGTCTGAGATGGAAACGTTCTTTCCCAGAGGGATTATGGGCCCCGCCCCCCATACCGTGAAACACCACAGTTTTCTACCCATTACAGAAACCAGGCCTCCACAGGATGGAGGCAGAGCCGTGTTGCTATGGCAACAAGATAGGCTGCCGAGGGAACGTGACAACCTGCCCCACCCCCATCTTTACCCTTGAAACCGCCCTCCAGGATCTCTCAAACTACCCATACTGCTGCGAGCTCACGTCGGAGCATGTCGTGACAGTGTGTCATTGCTGATATTCAGAAGGGTATTTCAACCCCAACAGCCGGGGGTGTGTCTCTCTGTACCTTCTGAAGAAAAATCATAAACTCAGCACCTATAGGGGAGTTCTCCTAGCCCCCTGGAACCGAGCCTTGGGTAGGTGGAGGCTGATGGGTCTCCACAATTGCTCTTAGTCTGTTTTACAAAAGTCTCTATGACCCCCTTCTACTCCTTCCTCATGTAGCCTTCAATTTAGGAAGATGGCGGCCTTGGAGGCAGGACAGGCAATCGAGTCCTCAAGCAGGCCTGTCTGTGTGTGAGAGGGGTAAACATCAGACACTGTGCGTGTTTCCATGTGTGCGCCTGCGTGTCCTTGCATGTGGTGTGGGCCCCTCCAAACACATTCCAAGCCTGTCAGCCCTCACCACAGCCCAGGTCTCTGTTCTGGCTGACCCAGAGGCTCTGCTTCCACAGACAGCTAGCAGGGAGCCGGTGGCCTGTCCCGTGCTTCTTGCCCCAGAACTGCTACTTGTGAGGCTCTGACTTTACAGTTCTTGGCCCCATATCTTGGTGGTGATCTCTGTGGGATTTATCCCCTTCCAAAGGGATCTTTGGTTTTATGTGGCTCCAGTTTAACCCTGAACCTGCTCTTCAGATTGGAGGGAAAGTGGAGAGAAGATTGGGGGGGCTCCAAAAGGCATGTTACTTGACCCACAGGGGTTTCCAGCTACCCTCTGAGCTGCGGGATAGGCTCAGAGCTGGAACACTGGAACCCAAAGACCTGGAAGCAGAGCTTGGTAGGGGCACTCAAATCTACTTCTTCTCGAGATCTCTGAACAGAGCCCAAGGGGTGAGAAATCAGGAAGGTGAGGGCATCTTTTGTCAAGGGAAGCTAAAGGGTCTCTTCCCTGGCTTCACCCCTTTTGGTAAGTCTTCCATAATAGTAGTGGGCTGTTCTCCCATCCTGTAGAAAGAAATATGGAGGACAGAGGTGAGCGGTGCAGGGAGATTTCTGTCTTTAGTATCACTCTTAAAAACCCCACAGGTGATTTCTTGGGACTGCAGGGTCACCTCAACAACCCCTAGAGGTGGGCAGTAAGACTCCCATCTTATAGAAGAAAGAACTGAGGTTCAGAGAGGTTATGTCTCCATCACATAGCTAGAAAGTTCTAGTGCCCAGAGTCGGACGCATTCCCACATTCTAACTGCAAACTCTATGCTGCAGGCTCTCCTTCCCTTTCAAGTATGGCTGGGTGGCTAACCCAACCCTCTGCCCCTTCCTCGAGGAATAGTCCTGGGAAGCAGTGGACAACCAATGCAAGTCTACCCCACAGCAGGCCTCCTCCCTGGGGCCAGGGGCCAGGCCCTGGTCTTTTCTAGTAACTTCCCCAGGCTCAAACTTGGTCACGGAGGGGTGAAGGAAATTAAGTCCAAAGAGAGCTATCGTGCCTTCCTCACTTTCTGAACCTGCTTCCATTTTCCATCTCTCTGTTCAAAGACACCCAGGCCAACGTGGTTGCCTGCGCTTGTGTGGTTCAGAGTGGGGAGTCTGGGGCAAGACTTGCTTTTGGTTGTTGGAGGGACCAGGACATAATAAAGAGCCTCCTATTCGTCACCTCAGGATTTGATTTCCAGTCATTTCCCTCATATCCGTCCATTTTAGTCTTTACAAATATTCCTTCAACTTGTAACCTCACAAGATGGTAAAAAGTCCCATTCTTGACACATTTGCGCCTTCTCCCTAATCCCTGAAATAAGAAATAAGAGCAATATAGACCCTCCAGGACAGAAAAGGAAGAGGAGACCATAGCAGGTGGGAAATGAAGCAAGAGGTTGAAGATGGTAATTCCACTGAGGGTCTGGCTGAGTGATGGAACCTGCGAGGGGCCCCTGAGGGACACTGCTGACTGTCACCCAGGACCTCCCCTCCGGACACGGAGGTGTCTGGTAGGAATGAAGCCTGAACTGAAAACTTGGGGACTGGCTGAAAATCTGCACGTGGGGTTAGACTTTCGGAGCCCAACACAGCCATGGTCTCCCACTCCCCCACTGGGAAGAGGCGGGGGGCTGCCTCTATGGAGGACTACAGTGCAGATGCTCCTATTTGGGGACAACAAGCACAGTGAGGACCAAGACAGAGACCCTTGAAGAGAGGGACCTTGCATGCTTGCTTGGTGAGTCCCAGCCCCTTCACTCTCTGCTCCAGGAACGCAGGCAGCAGCTACGTGCCTCCTGACAGGAGATGACAGATAAAAGTCCAAAGATAGAGGAAGGAGCCCCAGGAAAAAGCCAGCTCAGAGTTGCATCTACGGTGGGGTGCTCCAGCCTTTGAGGCTTGCCTGGGTATGCTGAGTTTCCAGGAAGTGGAGATCAAAACCAACAAACACAGGGCAGACAGACAATGCAGAAAGCAGATTGATCATTTTCTTGTGTGTGGTTAAAAAAAAAATTCATAAAATTCACCATCTTAACTTTTTTTTTTGTACTGGAAATTGAACCTGGAGTGCTTAAACACTGAGCCACATCCCAGCCCTTTCTAATATATATATTTTTTAGAGACAGGGTCTCACTAAATTACTTAGGACCTCACTAAGTGGCTGAGGCTGACTTTGAACTTGGGATCCTCCTGCCTCAGCCTCCCAAACCGCTGGGATTACAGGTGGGCACCACTGCGCCCCACCCATTGCCGGCCCATTTTAACATTTTTCAGTGTACAGTTCATTAGTGTCAATTATATTCACACTGTTGTGTAATGGATCTCCAGAAACTTTTCATCTCAGAGATAACATTTTTAAAAAATGAGTCTGTGATTATTACCCTCTGGGGGGAAGAGGAGAGAAAGTTTTGCTTCCATAAAAAAGCAGTAGAAGCAATAAAAACAGGAAGAAGCAGGTCAGAAAGGACCTTTGAAAGTTAAGAACAGGAGAACAAATTTAAAAAAAAGAAACAAAAGGGTTGGAATGCATACTTAAGGAAATCTACAAGGTAGGACAAAAAGAAATCAGGAGGTAAAATATTAAAAACTTGGGAAAACAAAAAGAATGTTGGCACATCCTACTACCATGAGTTCTAGAAGAGAGAAAAGAAGAAGGGAAGGGTACAAGTGACCAAAGAATTCATGCAGGACACGGAATTGCACGGAACAGAGGGCATGGATTTTCAGGTTGAAGGGGGAGCTCATGGAGCATCCAGGTCATGAATAGGAAAGATCCAGACTTTCCCCAGCTGTCCCCTACCCCCAGCTATGCTTTTTCTGGGACACTCAGCTCACAGTGTCCCCCCCACACACAGCCCAACCCCCCACCCACACTCCATGAGCTGCTCTCTGCCACACCCTTCTCTGGCAAAGAAATCCTCCAGGTTTTTTGACACCAGACCCTCAGGGCCAGTTGGGAAAAAGCAGTTTCTCCTGTCTCTAGCCCCGTACTGGATGCACCTTGTGTCCCCAGGGCTGCCCTGTGACCAGGCTCTCCCGCCAAGCCCCGACTCCTCTTGCCAAACCTCTCCTCCATCCAGGCCTCTGCAGCTCCCAAGACCTGGATGACCTACCTTTGGATTCCCTGGGTCACTGCTGGAACAGGCCTCAGGTTAGGATCACCCCAACCCTCTGGCTGAATTCCCGCCCCTCCAAGGTCCCCACAATAAACAGCT